GAGTTAATAGATTAAATATATTATTCATTTATGATAATAAAGATTTATTACCATATGACCATAGTCGGCTCCAATGAATATACTTTCAAGCTAAATCTACCTTAATGACTTTTAAAGCTTTCATAGTGAGAATAACTCCAACACTATGTCATTGTTCCATATAATAAAGTTTTAAAATCTATTATTTTAGGGTTGAATTTATTTTTTCTTTGAAATTGTTTCAATTACAATACTAGACCATCTCACAATCAGTAAGTATAATTGTGCACAAGTACTTTTAGACTTGTGAATCTAAAATGGTACCTAACATTGAATTATTGATATTCAGTTGCATAACCATATAAATATGAAGTCCTAAAGACTTAGATTTGTGAATCTAGTGAAGTCAAATTGATGCTTGGAAATTAATTGATATACTATCTATGGATAATCAAACTTAGAGATGACTCTCTAAAATGTGTAGGGTAGTGAGCTATACAAATGTAAATTGTGTCTTTCTTGTTTATCAAATTAATAGATATATAAAGTAAAACCTCAAGCATTGAGGCATTTTATTCATAAATTGCTTTGAAACTTGTTATATTATTCCATCATAATAAAGAAGATGAATTTATTATTCTCTACTAGTTCCTTCCTATCCTCAATGTACCCTAGAGACATTTCTACTTTATCTTCTATTTTATGTACGATACGAATTAATGATGAGGAGAGCTTTGATGACTCACCTATCCATCGATATATAGTGACATGAAAATACGTTTATTTTTTCCATACCTTCAAGTAAAAAGCTAAATCACAAGTGTTTAAAACCTACCACATAATCCAATGCAAAGAATCTAATCTACGAGGCACCATAGATTGTTATCAACTAGTTACTTATAAAACAATCATTGAATAAGTAGTATCATGAAATTAATTTCTTAATAATTGTCTTACAATTCATTATAATTTCATTAAGAGGAAAAATATAGTTAATTTTAAAGTACATTTTTTACTTAGGTTTAATAATATCTTCTTTTTTTTGAGGTAGCACAATAAAGTCAATGGACAAGTAACAACATTATGATAGACCATTTGGTGGCCTATCTATTAATCCAAGTGAAAGAGTGTATTGTTGGTAAACTCTCTAGTCAACTAAAGCCAACAAATAAGTACTTGCCTTTAATAATCAAATTGATAATTTTGTGAGAACTAGAGTAGTTGATAAGGAGAATCTAGTGGCTAGTGTGATGAATATTAGTTATTAGAATGTTTATTAGTGAAAGTTTGAGAAATGTGGTGCTCATGGAATAGTAGATATAGGCTTCTAGCTAAAAAAATATTTTACATTTGTATCTTTGTGTGGATAAAACTATTTATATATTTTCATCTGTAATCATTCATGTATGATTACATCATCTTTAGTGGTATAATATTATTGTATTATCGAATAATTCTCCTAATGATCTGTAAAAATTAATTTCAACTTAATTGTATCATGAAATTTTGTCCAACTTCTCTAATACCCTTATTCTTATGACACAAAGTTGAGTGATAAATTCCATTAACTTGGATAATATGTTTTCCATCCATATATTTTCTCATGTAAAACTAAGGAACCCGTTATACCTAAGTAAAGACTCTCATGAATATAAATTTTATGAGTTACCATATAAACATAAATGAGTGTCACTCTAAATATAGATACCTTGTAATTTAATACTTTTCCCACTAAACATTGATCAATAATACATCAAATTTCAAGTGAAAATACTATAGATATTCTCTTAATGTGTTACTTGTAAAATTAGTATCATTGTATACTTGTCGTAAACTTCTTGACCTTGTCTTTGTAACACCCAACTCAAATGATTGTTATTATAAACTAAGAGAACCATAAAAAAATGTAATATACCTTACAAAGTGGTGAATGATAAGTCTTCATTATCATGAATTAATAATTTATAAATAATATAGTTTTAGCTTTAACTCATTATAAATAGACTTATATTTATGATATATTATGAAAAGTAATTTTTATTTAGTTAATATAATTTTTTAGCTAATTATATAATTTTATGTGAATTTATATAATTTTTTAATATTATTTTTTAGATAAATGAAGAAAAAAAAGATAGAAAAAAAAGAGGACTCACCCATTAATTGGGCCTACAAGCAGGTCGAAAGCGCAGTCAAGATGCAACTACAAGCAAGGGCTCAAGTGATTGTGGATCAATGGGGGCACGTGTGCATCACTTCCTTTCTACATCACAGGTGGCCAATTAAGTGTGAGGCAAAGAGTGGTCATATACATGCGAGAAAGGGACTCATTGATTCCCAGATGTCGTATTACTATATATTTGTCACAACATTCGATATATAATCAATGTGGGATTAAACTAAGAGTCACACCTTAAAATATTTTTGATTATTCTAATACTTAAACTACCTTTTATTTATAACAATGATAGATTATGTTGACATCACTATATATGAGTATTTGAGTGCTTCTTCACTCTCTCTCATACAAGGAGGTTCAAATCCTAACAGAGCCAAAACTCATATTTTTATTTGATTAAATCATGATTTTTCTATCGATTGTCAATGAATGATTAAACTATATCAATCACTTAATCATCAATAAAAATCTTGTCAACACGATTTGCGCAACATCATTACTAAAATTATTGAATGATTCATGATAAAAGAATTCCGAATCTATTGAGTAAATAATCTCTGATTGATCGAAGAATAAGTCATTGCTGAGAAGAGGATGATTCGTCAAGAGATAAATCGCCACCTCTTGCATACTAGATGCGATAAAGAGCCTCCTCTTGCTATGTGGACCTGAGGATGAAGCTCTTTAACATGCACTCCACCTTCATCCAACTCTTCTATGTTAGGTGATGGTCATTGGAGATCTATAAAATCGTCATTTTTCTGCTTTGTTAGTTGACAGCCGTTGGAGTTGATTCGATGACTCATTTCATTGATCTCTAAACTTTACTAAAAGATCTATAGATTTTCCACGTCATCGTTATTTAAGGAGAGCCTTCAAGGTTGTGGACATTACATGACAATCTTCCTAAACACTCAATATTTTGGTACATCGTCACCGTATCGTCAGAATTCTATTTTTTCTACTTTTAACTTAAATTTCACTTTATTTAAAGATAATTTGTGTGATTTATTTTCAAACTAATTTTCATTCAATTATAATTCTTCTAACTTTAACAAATCTTAATTTGACTAATTAAATTATCTGTAATCGCTTATGTAAAAATCATCGATTGAAACTCTATTTTTGTCTGATTTACGTTCATCCGGTGATGATGTCATATTGACGTCCGTACTCTTATTTTCTTTTTTTATAAATTTTAGATATATTTATATTTTATTTCTTAGTATAAAATTCATAAAAAATCATATTCTTTGAAAAAAATTAAAATATTACACGATATTATATTACATCCTTCTGATCGACTTAGAAAATTTTTATTATTTTTCAAACTTTTAGAATTTTAATTGATTTATATGTTTAAAATACTTCTAAATATTTAAAACATAATATTTTTTATTTTAATAAATTTTAAATTTACGTGAATTATTATACAATGACTAAGTCACATCAATGATCTTGTCAACCAAGATTTTAAAAAAAAAAATCATTTTTCTTCTAGAATTGCATATCAAATATGTCAAGCACTTAACCCATTCAAGTTTATATCAACATAAATACCTCAAAATTGAGTCAACAACTATGCACTTGCATGTTTAAATTTGATGTAGAAAGTCAATGTATAAAAGAAAAATAGTGATGTGTAAAATCATGGCCCTTTGATATACTTGTCCTATTTGAAATACAATATCATAGGAATTAAAAATAATATTCAAATTTTCTTTTGCTAAAATGTAATTGGAAAAATAAAGTGCTCAAGCACCTGTTTCTATAGACCATCATTTTGCTTTCTAATCTTGTGAGGAATATAATTATGAAACATACGACAACAAAGTGATCTTATTGGAAAGTAAAGCTCTCTATAACTTCAGTCTATAGAGATTATGTTGTATAAACTGAAAAGGTGTTAAAAATATTATGAAGAAATTGTCTATTTTAGTTAATTACTCATTTACTACATAATGGAATAAGAAAGCTCAAGTCTTCAGAAAAAAATATCCAGAATAACAGATATCTATTAAGGGGAGCACATCTTATAGGATTATACCTAATTGAAGATTTTTAGATCCAATCTGAATATAACGATATTGTAAGAGCTAAAATTAAATAAAGTTTATTGACTTCATCGTGCAGGACTTGTACATGATTGCGTCATAAATAACTCTAGAAATGCTGCCCAACCACTTGACAGATGCAAGCATAGGAAGGGCAAAATTTGTAGCTTTCTACAGAGAGAGAGCCAGCCCGCATGACGACATGGGGTTTGAAACGGTGAAATATTTCCGAATCATTGACCCACACAATTGGAAAACGATAACCTTATATCAAATATTTGTGCTCCTTGACAGCTCTCAGTTTTAGTTTATGGGCTCTCAAACACAGGTTATTGATTAGTAGCATGTCGGACAAATCCCAATGAAAGCTTACACGGTCCATTTCAAAAGGAATACTTGGTGATGATATTGCCGGCTTAATAAAAAAGCAACGGAAACTACAAGGGATTTGGCCTTGAAACATTAGAAGATATGAATTTAGAAAATGCACGTTAGAGAAATAATCCAACTTGGAATAAGAAATACGCATTTAACAACCACCATCATCTATGGCGTAGGTACTCTCAAGATACAAAAAGATATCGGATGCCAAAGAGTCCACGCCAGAACAGCACAAAAACTAAACCCTGCGAAAGCAGCTGGTTCAAATCTGAGCCGATGGGCAACCTACGTGCCCAGTGCATCCGGAAGGTTATTGTAGATATCGTCTTGTTCTATAGTTAAACCGCTGATTAACTAACATCAATTTATTTTGGCCGTCACGCAACGAGGTTTATTGTACAGATACATCAGCACAAGCCAGTATCGACGTTGCAGCCGCCTTTCCTCTTCCTGCTCCTTCTGAGCACCTGCAGCACAGACTGCGCGGTGCAGTAGGCAATGGTCTGCACCGTCACCATGGGGTTAACTCCAAGCGCAGTTGGGAAGGTGCTGGTATCCGCCACGTACAGCCGCTCCATCTCCCATGTCTCCCCTGTGGGATCCACCGCCGACGTCCTCGGGTCGATCCCCATCCGGCAGCTCCCCATCTGGTGAGCCGAGCACACAGGAGTCGACTGTTTACTCAACTGGCGCCGACCAGCCCGCCACACGAACGCCTCAAACTCCCGGAAGGTCGCCGTCTTCACGTTCAGCCGCTCCCCGCTGCGGTGGTGCGTCCCGATCTCTTCCGCCCCCGCCGCCGCCAGGATGCGCAGCATCTTCTCCACCCCCCCCTGAAGATTCTCCTCGTCACCCGCGTCCAGTTTGTATTCCAGAGATTCCGGGAAGGTACGGACGTCGCCGGAGCCTTGATCGCGCGCGAGAGCGAAGATGTGTGCCGTACGCGAGAACCTTGTCATTCTCTCCTTGAAGTCGGATCCAGAAGTCCAGGGCATTAGCGCCGAGAATGCACCGGGGTGCGACGCCGGCGTCTGGATTATGGCTCCGTACCCGTTGGAATCGAAATTGGCGACCACCGTCGACATGGCCGTCATGATTCCCCCCTCGTAGCTCTTCTTCTCCCCGTCCGGCCTCCTCGACGGCGGTGACTCGGGGAAGTGACCCCACGCCATCACCACCGGGTGGAGATGTAGATGTCGGCCGATGTTGGCGTTCCGCAGGCCGCTGTGCAGGAGTAGCTGCGGCGTGCGCAGGGCCCCGCACGCCGCCACCGTCACCTTCGACTCCACCACTATCATTTTCTCCGTTCTGCCACCTTGAAATCGGACTAGCACTCCGGTGGCCACTGGGCGTCGGTGGCCTGTCTGGCGGCGGTGGAGGACTTTCACGGCGGTGCATCCCGGCAGGATAACGCCATTTCCGGACTCGGACATGTCGAGAAGCCACGTCTCGGAGGTTCCCTTCTTTCCCCCGTCCTTGCACCCAAAGCAACACCACCCGCAGTAGTGGTCTCCGGCGCAGTTTCGGGGAATTGTGCTCACTGGGTATCCGAGCTCCGCGCAGCCTCGCCGGAGGACGGTGTTATTTAAGCTCTCCTCGGAGACCTCAGACTGCACGCCCATCCGGGCACACACGGCGTCCATCGCCTCCATGTAGGCGTCGCTGCCAAATAGTTCCAGGCCGTGGGCGTCGCACCACTCGTCCATTACGTGCCGGGGGGTTCGGATGGACGCCGACCAGTTGATCGCCGACCCGCCCCCGACCGTGGAGCCGGCGAGGATCATGACGCCGAGGTCGTCCGTGCCGACGAGGCCGCTGCCTTCGTACATGTTGTCCATCGCATGGCCTTCCCGGAGGGTGAGCCCTTGGCGGGCGTGGTACTGCCCCCTCTCCACCACCACAACCTTGTGACCTGCCCGGGCCAGCACGCCGGCCACTACGCCGCCGCCTGATCCGGAGCCGACCACGACGACATCGCAGCGGATGGTGGCGGTGGGGACTCCTCGTCGGGCACAGCGGACGACGGAGAGGGAGAGGCCGGCACGGCCAAGGGCGGCGGCGATCGCCGCGGGGGGGCGATCGAGGAGGACGAGGGCGGGGTGGAGCGGGCCGAGGCGGCTTGTCCGGTCGGTGGAGGTCGGAGAAGAGCCTTTCTCCTCCGGTTTGGAGGGCATTTCTGGTGCGGGGACGAGCTGGCGGACGAAGTCGGGATCGGGACCGCAGTAGCCAATGGCCTTCCAAGTCGGATTTTCGCCCTTCTCGTTGACCTGAAAGCAAAAACGCACGTGTTGAAAAAAAAGGGAGAAAAGTTTCATGTGCTCGTCCTTTCGGACGGACAACTTGCTAGTAACTATGGTTTCACGTCCAATCAACACCTTGTGACTTTGTTATTTCCCTTAATGCCCACATATTCTCAACTGGTCTGTAATCTTCGTGGCCTCTGAGAACGTGAGCACTTCTTCCTCTAATTTCTACGCGGCCATACATTCTTTCTCCACCCGCCCCAAACTGCTGCCCTTCCCTCCTCCCCTAGTTGGGGTTTCATGAATGCGATGCGCAGCGACTCGTCGGGGAGTTGGAGGGCGTCATGGCGACTGCTGTCAGAAAGAAGCCTGAGATCCTCTTACTCCACGAGAAATGCCGAGGGCCCAGGAAGTCAGAAGAGGCGATACCCAAGATCTTGAAACATGAACCCAAATCTTGGTGACGATGCTCATCGATGAGGTCATCGGCGTCATCTCTTCTATTTGATGAAGTGCGTCCACAACACGCTGCTTATCGCACCAAACTCGGTTACAGCTGAGGCCATTATGTGTCCCTCTGAGTATTTTACCGGAGGTCCGGTCATATCAAAAGAGAAATGCCCCCTTGCCCTCTCGTGATCTCTGCTTTCTCTTCCGACGACGGTGCAGGGCCGGGGGGGAGAGGGAGAGAGACGTCCGGTGGAGATAAGGTCCGGTTATAACCAAGGAGAACTTTTCCCGTGTATCCTCTCGTGACCTCTGCTCCCTCTTCCGACGGTGGGAGGGGAGGGGGCGGGTTGGTTTCCCCACATTCACTGGAAACTAGAGGAAGGCAAGGCAAAGGTTCAACGATGCTTTCGACCTACCTGCGTGAAGTAGATGAGAAGCACCAGGGTTTTCAAAGACCTGAAGAGAAGCCTTAACAGGCGGAGTGGGCTGCTCGACCAAGATAGGAGGATCTCCTCCCGCCGTCCCCGGGGCACCTCCGATAGCCTCCTGAAGTATGGGAACCGCCCCGACAGGCTCTTCATCCCGCAGATCGCGAAGGTACCGTACCACGTCGAGAGGAACCACAGAGTCAGCTTGAGCAAATCCAGCGTTATGTGTTGCAGCCTTCCACATATGTACGCCCCCACCTGCACCCGCGAAGAGGAACAAAATTTAAGGTTTCGAAGTAAAAGAGGTGGAGGCGGCAGTGACGACGGGGGTCACCATCTCTGGCGTGCCAGCCAGGGAGGCGGAGAGACCGAAGAACTTGCGTATGGAGTCGTTGTCCGCAGCGGGAAGGTCTATGGAGGGGAGTAGGGCGTCACAGATAGCAATAAGGGATTCCATCTGCCGAGCAGAGAGCGTGTTGATGGGCGGCGGCCGCTGGTGAACACCCGTCCCCTCTTGAAGGTCGTCGAGGTCGATGGTTACCTCGGCCTTAGCTGTGGAGAAGTTGAGCATCGACTTTTCTTCCATGGGGCTTCCTTCCGTTGCAGTTTCAAGGGGAAGAAAGAGGAAAAGAAAGACGTCAGGGCTTGGTACAATGGACCTGAACGCTCTCTGCGTCCTACTGTGGTGTAAGCGCATCGATAAATACTGAGCGCAGGCCTGCCAGCTGGTTCAATATGAGTTAGTGTGGGTGTGTCTGTTGGGCCGTAGAAACTGTGTCAAATTTTATCTCGTCGATGGAGAAGCGACCTCTGGGCGTGGAGGCCACGAGGGCTTGCTGAGGGATCCGATTTAATGCCCAATCTAACTCTGCATCCGTCCCCATTGAATGATGACCTTTAGGAACGATGCCCAAGACCTCTCACTCCCCCTCCCGTCTCCCTCTGTGTTTGAGAGGTAGACTGACTGAGAGATATGAGTTGAGAGAGGCGTAGAGATCGATGGGGTGCAGTTAGAGAGAGAGAGAGAGAGAGAGAGAGAGAGAGAGAGAGAGAGAGAGAGAGAGAGAGAGAGAGAGAGACAGACAGACAGACAGACTGAAGAACAGACAGAGGCAAAGAAGAATAGTAAAACGCAAGCTGAGCCATTATTTAACGGACCAGTTCATGGACACTGATGTCGTAAAGAAAGTCTTATCGACTTTTGACACTGCATGCCCATTTTGCTTTCTATTTCACCCCGACTTCCCGTGCTTTCTACCCATTACCCGTTTTTTTTTCTGAATCAGCATCACCGACACCTCATCAACTCCTAACGGGCGTGCGGAGGAAGCTAACGTTTAATGGGGTCTCCAGTCATGCCATGCATAGCTGGAGATGTCTCCAGGGAGACCACGGCGGAAGCCGCCGTAGCCTGGAAAAGGCTCACTCGCGCGAATAGGGTGACTCAATCAATAAGCTTAATCAGGTCCTGGTCATCGATACGACGAAAAATAATAAATCAGATGCGACGTCTACTGAGCGGTCGAGTGGGTGTTACTGCTTTAGCCATCTTTCGAAGTGTGGTATCCCCTCTAGATGACTTCGTTGACCGTATTAAACCACTGAAGGCGTCCAAGCTTCCTGTCAGAAATAACTCAAACCACTAACGCCCGCACACATCGTGATCTGCGATTGGCACTGTGACGTCGGGGAGCATCGGGCGTGCCCGTCTGTATCGACTGGTCAGACGGGCAAGAGGCCCCGCTCATCCGGAATCGTGCAGTAATTAAGAATGATGGACTGTTGATGTCGTCTCCGCTGACGTAAATTTGAGCGCTACCTTCCGACCGAGTCCCATTCCTTTCGAGCCGCTCATTGCTGAAATCCTCTTCCGGCGAGCGACCAATGTCTGATGTGATCAATCGTCGATGTCCTCAAGGCTATCCTCCTCTTCTCCATACCTCAGAGCTAGTGAAGAGCGAAGCGAGGAAGAAAGCACACACAAAGACTTAATAATCGCCGGCTACCGGCGACGATCCGCAGAACTCGGCCGGGGGAGAGGCCTGCAACCTGGTGGCCGTCTTATCCACGAGACGTGGATGGGCAACAAACCATTGTACTGTTTTGTTGTGTATAAACCCCGTGCATGTGGAGTATGGGCGGTGGAGACGTCGCGGACGGAGGATCTTCCCGTTCCCCGGCGTCGGTGCTGCCCGTCTGGCAGAAGAATTGCGGCTATCTGGCGAACTTGCCTTCCTCCCATTCCCTACCCCAGCGCGCCGACCCCTCGTTGGCCTCGGCCACCTCCTCCGGGGGACGAGGTGACTAACTTGCACCGTTTGTCGATACAACTACGCAAAGTTTTGTTCGCCTTCCTTCACACTCGGACTACCCGCGACCCATGCCAGTGCTTCAGTTTGTACTCTCCCGACGGAGGACGGAACCTTTAACCGGCCAAGCCCAATCCTCTTATGGATTGAAGCATTCGCTGATCGTCTCGGGTTTCGCCAGAAAGTTGCCGAGTAAACAAAGAGGACGGCGGAAGAGAAGCTCCATGCTGTAGCTGGTCAAGGGGGGGCCTCTTTCCTACGACAACTAAGGGAGCAAACCTTGTCCAAGAGTGAGAAATAATACCATACATAATGAAATATTGTATTTATTTCCTCTTACGTTTCCCCCAGTAGAGCTAGGTCGATATGATTATTTGTAACCGAGCTATCATTTTAATAAGGTTTTTCATTTTCTCCTTTACCTTTCTCTCTCCTGTCTCACGAGCCGACGGCTCTCTCGCCGGCGGCGGCGCCTTCTCCGGCGGCTTCGGGAAACCTAATAAACTGGAGCTTGGAGGATGAAACAGTACAGGGCGTTTCGCCGACCATATCCTTCGTGCTACGAGGAGCAGACGGGTGGCAGTTCGGGGAGCAGGAGTAAAACGTCCGCCGGGCGAGCCAGTGCGGGACGGCGCGAGGAATGGGGGGTGCGGGCGTGCAAAGTAATAGAGGATTCATCCGTGCCCCGAGGGAGAATACATTCTCTCCCCGGTATCCCAGCCACCCAGAGAGAGAGAGAGGAGGCGAGAGGCTGGTCGAGGAGCAGTAAGCGACTCGACGTCGACACACGAGGCTACCCGCGTGAAAACTGGTATAAGAGCGAGTTACTTGGGCAGGACGCGTTCCAACATGGGGCAGGACGCTCTGGATCACTCGGCTGGAGCAAACGCGAGAAGGCACAATGGGACGACTGTAGTAACGCTTCGTGTAGTGGGAGCAACGACAGAGGGATACGAACGCGCGGATGCAGAAAGAGTTACGACAGCAACCAGAAGAGTTGAGGGAGCTCCAGAACCGACTCAAGGAACACTCCAGTCTCATACTGGAGAAATTGGAAGCGGAGAATGCTCAACTCACATCAAAAATATTGACACTGTTGGATATTTCCGTTTTGTGGGCTGCACATACCATTATTGTGCATAATGGTTATTACAGCAGCCGTTTTTGGGCGTTGTGGAATGGAGTATGGAGGAAGATCGTGTAGAAACCGGTCGTCGGTTTCAATCCATTGATGGAAGGGATTGAAACCGTCGAGCTTCTTTGAGGCTATAAATTCATCATCGTCGGAGTACTCGAGGTCCCCATCTGCCTGAGGAGAAATTCCCCGGTGATTGAAGTAGAAGGCCATCTTGTGTGTCATGGATTCCGGCGGTACGCTTCCGCAATTTTATTTCTATCAATTGGTATCAGAGCTCATGGTTATCGATGAATTTTTTTCCCGTTTCATCGTGCTTTTGGACGCTCGAATTTCTGCATTTTCTGTTGCCGTCTTCGGCATCCTTACGTCGCCGGAAATGGCCGCGCAATGGCGCGGGGAGGCCAGACGGCATCCTCGAAGGCCGCGACACGCGACGCGGCATTGCCGCCTGCGTCGCGTGTTGCGGCCTATGCAGGCCATACGCCATCGCGGCGTCGCCTGAGGGTGTTGCGGCGCCTGCCGTCGTTTCCGGCGACGCCGGATAGCGCGGGGGCGTCGCCGCACAGCGCCACTGCGGCGCTTGCCGTCGTTTCTGGCGACGCCGGATAGCGCGCGGACGTCGCCGCACAGCACCATCGTGGCGTCGCCTGAGGCTGTTGCGGCGTCTGCCGACGTTTCCGGCGATTGTCTCCCGGCGTCTGTTGGACCCCGGTCCTGGGCGCTCACTGGCGCGGTCCACTGGGTCCGCCCAGCGATATGGGCTCAGGCCTGGCAGCGGCCAACTGGGCCGCTCGGCCTGTGTGTGAGCTGGCCCCCTTTTTTTTGGGTCAGCCCACTATGACCGCCAGGCCAGGCGCAGCCCACTAGGCGCCTGCCAAGTCCGGCCCAACAAGGATTAAAGGGCATTTTTGCCCATTTTTATTATCTCATTACTATTTTGGTAATTTAATTTATTAATTCACTTTATTGCCAATTTATTTTAAATTTTTCTCTGAAAAATTTTATTCAATTTGATTGTGCCATGTTAGTGCAAACATTTATTGGCCCAAAGGAAAATAATTGTTTGGCTGAATTTAATGTATGTATGAAAATTCAAGCATATATTTGTAGGCTTTGATATAGATATTTGAAATCTTTGAATTGATAGTAATGTTTAATTACTTTTATTGACAATTATTTTCAATATAGATATTATAAGACCGAAGTTGAAAATCAACTGTGGTGATGAATACTATGGTAGATATGATGGATTGAGTAAACAATCGTGGTGATGAATACTGTTCGTGTTTCTTGAAAAGTATAGAATTATCCCTCAATACACTATGCCAAGATCTCCTAACATGAATAGTGTTATAGAGAGACGAAAGCGAACATTTAAAAACATAATAAGAAGTATGATCAATCAAATTCTTTTACTTGAATCTTTTTGCGGTGAAATATTAAAAAAGTAACATTGAAAAACATGTAGAAAATTGAGGGAGGCAAGACCTTATAATCCTAATGAAAGGAAACTTGACTCGAAGACATTTTTGAATTTGTGGGAGGAGATAAAGTTAAAGATATTACTTTTCAGGAGTATTGTTTATCAATATATCTTATTATTTCTAAAAATGTTCAAGATAAAGATTCATCACTTGACATTGATGAAACAATAACTCATGAACAAAGTAATACTCTAAAAGTTCTTTCCTGAAAAAATTACATATAATCCACCATTAAAAAACGTAGAAAGAAAAAACAATTCAAGAGCAAGAAGGAAGCTCTTGAAAAAATATTTTCTTTTTCAATTACAAACTCAACAATCTCAAGAATCAATGACATTAAGAAAATCTACTAGAGAGAGAAAGAATGCAATTCCAAATGACTACTTTGTGTATCTTCAAGAACATGAAGTAGACTTGGGTATCGAGGAAGATGATTTAATCAATTTTTGTCAAGCCATAAATGAAGAAATCAAATTTATGCAGGACAATAATGTTTAGAATCTTGTTCTCTTATCTAAAGATGTGAAATCTATTAGTTGTAAATGAATATTTAAAACCAAAAGAGATTCAAAATGTAACAATGAGAGATATAAATCTCATATTCTTGCTAAAGGGTTTACTCAAAGAGAAGTCATTGATTATAAATAGACTTTTGCTCCAATTTTAACAAAAGACTGTTTTTGAATAATAATAGCACTAGTTGTGCATTTTGATCTTGAGCTTCATCAAATGACTTTTCTCAATAGAGATATTAAGGAAACCATATCTATGATACAACTTGAAAAGTTTTAAGTCTAAAGACTTAAAATAATTAATTTACAATGTGTATAAAGTTGATGATTGTGTATACCATAAGTTATGTGGGATGACAAACATGCATGTAATGATTTGACTCTATTAAGTGAAACCAAGTCATTCTTGTCAAAGAATTTTGAGATGAAGGATCTTGGTGAGGCCTCATTTATTTTAAGTATATAAATACATTGAGATCACACTCAAAATATTGTAAGATTGTCACAACAAGCCTACATTGAGAAAATTCTCAAAAGATTTGACATGTAAAATTGTAAAATTAGAACCAGCCCCATGGAAAGGAGACAAATTTTGTCTTAGTCAATGCCCTAGAAATGATCATGGAGTAAAAGAAATGTATAACATTCCTTATGCATTGGCTATAAGATGTATGATGTATGCCCAAGTTTGTACACATCCAGAAAACATACATTATTAGAATGTTAGGTAGATATTTGAGTAATAAGAAGGGATCACTAGATAGCAACAAAGAGAGTCATGTATTATTTACAAAGAACTAAAGATCAGTTAGATTAAATGGAGATCATTGGTTACACTGATTTTAACTTTATCAGATGTCAAGATTCAAGAAGATCCACATCAAGTTATATATTTTTACTAGTCGGTGGAGTCATTTCATGGAGGAATGTGAAGCAATCACTTGTAGCCTACTCCACAATAGCTTCAGAATATATTACAATGTATGAGGCATCTAATCAAACATTATGATTGAAGAACTTTGTCTCTGAGCTTCGAATCATGAGTGGTATTCAAAAATCTTTCAAGATATATTGTGACAATAAATCAGTCATGCTATTCTCTAATAATAATAGAAGTTTGAGAAATTAAGTATATAGACATCAAGTAAGTTGTCAAAGAAAAGATTCCAAATGAGAAAGAACAAACTCAATGAGAAAGTACAAAACATATTAGTACAAACTCAATGATTGCGGATCCACTTACCAAAGGCTTGTTACCTAAGATCTTTTTAGATCATGTCACTCATATAGGTGTTCTTCTTTGAGAAGAATTGTGATTTGAGTGGAAGTTTGTATTTTAGTGTTCTTCATTGTGGACTTGTAAAATATTTATGCAGAAATAAAGTTTAATCTTGTTTTTATCTATTTTGAATATTGATCTCCATAAAGGAGGACTCGTTAGAAAAGTTCAAATTAAATTTTATTTAAAATTTTCACACTACACGTTCATACTTAGTTTGTCATTCATCATGAGAACAAAAGTGATTAGTGTGACTTAGTTGCATGAAATCGTAATGAAAGTTATCGCAGTCCTATGTTTGAGTGTTGATGGACGAGACTAATGCATTTCACCTTATGTGATAATAACTAGGTTCTGAACTTCTAAAGATTAAAAATATACAAATGATTGAATAGTCATAATGTACAGCCCAAGTGAGAGATTGTTGGATATTTCCATTTTGTGGGCTACACATACTATTATTGTGCATAATGGTTATTACAACAGCCGTTTTTGGGCATTGTGGAATGGAGTATGGAGGAAGATCGTGTAGAAACCGGTCGACAGTTTCAATCCATTGATGGAAGGGATTGAAAGCGTTTGATGGTTTCAATCTTTTGATAGAAAGGACTGAAACCGTCGAGCCTCTTTGAGGTTATCAATTTTGAGGGTTTGGTCCTTACTTCGTCATCATCGGAGTCCTTGAGGTCTCCATCTGCCTGAGGAGAAATTCCCCAGTGATTGAGAAGTAAAAGGCCATCCCGTGGGTCATGGATTCCAACAGTATTCTGCAATTTTATTTCTATTAGACACATTGAAGTTACGTGGTGTAGAAATATGGAAGACTCTATTAGATGAGAGAAGAATCTACAAGAATTCTCACAAAGAACCCAGAGAACAAATTTCTGATCTTGGCCCTAAAATCAGACGATGGTTGACCTCGGCGAACATGCCTCACGTTTCCATTGCACCATGTTGACCCATAAATGCTCAGTCTTCTTGAGTCGAACGGACCGCTGATCCCTCCTGCACTTACGGTCATTAATGGGTCGTCACGTTAATAACAGTTCCACCTGCAGAAGGCAGCCGGGGCCGGAGAGAAGCGGCTCATCTACATCATTAAGGCAGCCATCGACGGGGACAATGGGGCCACCCACAAGTTAAATGTCCCTGCTAGAGGCACGGAGACCTGCAGATTCTGCCGTACACCCACCGACCGGCGTGGCAATTTGAGGATCAGGTGGAGCGCCTCCTCTCTTCCCTTCCGAGACGAGGACGTCGAACTGTGCACCACCGGTCGTAGTATTACGGGGAACAGAACTGCGGCAGCTCGGTTGTAATGGGAGTCCAAGTAACAGAGGATTCCTCTGTGCCGGAGGGAGGTTCCATTGTCTCCCCCCTCTCCCTGCCAACCAGAGAAAGAGAGAGAGAGGGGAAGGCGAGAGGCTCGTCGAGGAGCGGTAGACAGTGACTCGGCGCCGACACAGAAGGCTACCCGCGTGACACTCAGAGCCAGCATATATAGACAAAGCTTCCTGTGGTGAAGAGACGCGGCCGCAGGACGGGTTGCGGAGGAAAGGAGGGCAACTCGAGGGAAGCTACGCTGGCGTTACCCCTTTTACCAGTGGAAGGGGGAACTAGATAGACTTCTTCAGTGAAACGGTCGCCATTCTCACGGAAGTGGATGGGTTTCTCTCTCCTGCCCAGGAGATGGCGAGTTCCTCCTCCCCATGGCGTGACGGTGGGAGCCATTCCTCTCCGTCCCCTCCGAACCCCCCAACGACTACTCGTCGAACCCTCACACACCGCTCCACCAACCCACTGGTCTGGTTTGCCGCGATTGTCTGCGCCATTCTCGCCGTCCTCGTCTTCGTCGCGGGCGTCGTAGTGCTATTCATCTATCTCACCTACCGCCCCCAGACGCCCTATGTCAGGGTCTGCAGCACTCACCTAGACGGCCTCGGGTATGACCGGTCGGGCCTGCTACAAATCCTGTTGACCATCGACATGGAGGCTGTCGACGAAAATGAGAAGACAGTCGCCGCCTTCTCCGACGCCGACTTCCAGGTTGAGTTCGCAAGGACGCCCCTCGCGGCGCTGCGAGCTGCCCCCTTCGTCGTGGGCGAGAACGGCACCTTGCCGCTTCACTACCTGGTAGCGTCGGCGCGGGCGCCGCTTGACAAGGCGGGAATGGAGAAGATGGAGACCTCCCTGAAGAGGGGTCAAGTGGAGTTTGGTCTGAGACGGCAGGCGAGGACGAGGTGGAACGTAGGGGTGTTCCTCTCCATGAGATCTTGGGCACGACTCAACTGCAAGCTGAGGTATTTCTACCCGAACGGGAGCACCACGGGGCTGGACTGCTCCAAATCCCACTTCATGTAGTCTAGGATCGAGGTCTACTCCTTCTCCACAGCAGGAGGAACAAGGTGACGACGCGATCCTCTACGCTGATAAATCCTGTGTCGGTCTCCTTCGACAGTTTCAGGGACGACAAGCTCAGGATGAGACGATCACATCTTAGTTCTTGTCTGGTTCCTTCTCACAGTAAACGGAGGCAGTCGAGGTCTGAACTTTTCTCCTCCGCCGCCGTTATTCTTCCACTCCCGTTGGCCGCCGAGGTCACCACCGGAGCCTCCCACTCGTCGTCTCCTTCGGCCCTTCTCCGGCAGGGGCGTGCTCTGCGTCGTCATCGGAGGATGCAGCAAAAGCAACGGAAACGGTGCCCGAGCGGAAAGGCTGCATCTTTTCCGAAAGGAACCTCCTTTCCACCTCAACCCTTCGCAAAGGGAAGAAACCCCCAGGCGCCCAGACACCTCAACAGGGAAGAGGGAGCACTTGTTTATGATGAACTTATGGGGATTATCATAGATTTGCCCACATCATCGATAGAACTTTCCCAAAGTTTTCTTGATATATCATTGGACTTTTTCTGAACACGGGTGATCTTCGCCAATTGAATGAATCTTTTCTGCCGCCGGAACACCCTAGATTCTATGTGATAATCTGGAGATGACCATGGTAAGTCAAAGATCGATGCGAACTTAAACCAAAGGGGCTGACCCTCAAGTCTACGGACCACTTGTTTATGACAACTTTGCTCGGACGCATCCAGCTGACCCCAGATATTTGGTCTGGAATTCTGTCAACCATGAAGCTTCAATTTAATGCCGCAGTCGAATGAGGGACTACGGTCGTACTTTGACTTGAATTTGAACTATTATGATTGAATTAATTTTATTCGGTAAATGTATACTACGTTTGTTTCAGTTAATTTAAGCAGGTAACTTGCTTCTGGACGGCGTGTGTGCTCTTAGCCGTTTCCGAAACGAACACGACGGCGCTCTTGATTCCTGCTGCTGCACCTCCTCATCGCGGCGGGGAAGGAAGCGATTCGACCAGGTACCTCCCGTCGACCCTCCTTGTTTTCCTCCCTGTTGCCGACCCCGCTCCTCCGCCTCCTCCTTGTTCACCGTATCCACGCTCATCCCATCGCCCAGGCCTCCGTCCCCTTACCCGGGGACGTCAAAATAGCCCTTTTTCTCTTCCCGCCCCTTTCCGCGCGGCCCGCAGGCTCCTTCTCCGCCGTCGCATCCGTCTCTTCGAGGCTGCCGCGGGCGATTAGTCATCCCCTCCTACCCTTCCCCTTTGCAGCCACCTCTCCAATCCGCTGGAACATTTACAGGGTTGCCGTTTCCCTGGAGCCACATTGTTCCGGCTTGTCCAGCCCGTAATCCAGTTGTGAAGTCGGTTCAAACCCTTTGCATCTGAGGAATCCTCCGGCCAACGGAGCATTATAATTCACGCTGGAATCCCTTCTGCAATCCGTCTATAATCCACCGATTTTCTCCCTTAGGCTCCGACTCTCCGTCGAAATTTTTCTGGCCCTCTTGCGCCGAATCCGGCAGTGGAATCAACCCAGTCACTGAGCATGCTCCAGTTCATGTGCTAGTGGTCTCTGGCGCCCCGTTAGAGGTATACACATCAGGAAAGAAACAGAGATAAATGAGAAGAGCTCTTTTTCCTGCACCTTGTTTCTCTTTTTGTTCTTCTCAGTGAAAGTTTTGACACTGGAATCGTCAGAAGAATAGCTGACGGAATTTTATGGGCATTAGCCCTCTTGAAAGTTAATTAGAATGAATACATGTGGAACTCTAGTCTGATTCTTGTTGATGCTCGCTCAGTCCACTGATTCTTGTGGATGGTGTCTTACTTTATCAGGATCTTCTGTAACACATTTTGCAGGTGAGCAGATGTGAGAGGACCTGCAGCCTCTTTCCTACGCTCATAGTCAATCCTCAGCAGCTGCAATGGTCTCTGTCCGGAGGGTCTTTTGATTCCTCATTTCTGCTTGTTTCCTCTCTCTCTCTCTCTCTCTCATTTCTGCAGCTGGTTGTTTCCTCATCTCTGCTATGGTATCTTTCTATATATATACATCTCCACGTGTGGGCACATGGATGTCCTCTTGTTCCTTGGGTAACCAGTGGATGATTTGAACACCAATCTTCCGCAGTCATCATGTTCTGCCGTTCTAGTCTCCCTCTAGCTGAGATATCTCGTCCTGTTGCCATATCAACCAGAGTCACCAAAACCCATTGTCCGCCTTCATCCACTGGATCATTCCGGGTTTCATTATTACATCATAGGAAGAGGACTCTGGCAAAACCTCTGTCAGCCCCTCGGTCGACGATGCTGATATACCAGTGCGAAGATGAAGAAGAAGAAGACAATGAGGAGGAACAACTGCGGGTAGAACCTTCGTCAGTCAAATGGGTCGAAATAGGCCCTGAAATAACTCACGAGCAGGCACAGGCGATCGCCCGGCTTCCCCCAAAGATGACTAAACGTTGTAGGGCCCTGATGAGGCACATCATCTGCTTCTCCCCTCAACAAGGCAACCTTCCTCTTCTGCTGTCCGCGTGGGTGAAGGTTATGAAGCCCAAGAGAGCCGACTGGCTGTCTGTTCTCAAGGAGACGAAGAGATTGGAAGATCCTCTATTCCTGCAGGTCGCTTTCTTACTCACTTCCTGCCTCAGTCTGTGCATGGATGTACATTCTAGCGGTGACCACGGCTGAAGCCTTGCCCCTGAGAATGTGTCTTCTTCGCAGGTGTTCCAGTATGCGCTGCTAGAAGATTCCTTTGAAGCAAATATCCGTGACTACACCAACATAATCGGCGCCTTTGCCGAGCAGAAGCGCTTCCAGGACGCCGAGGCCACATTCCTGGCCATGAAAAGAAAAGGCTTCGCCCCTGATCAGGTCACCTTGACCTTGCTGGTCAACTTGTACAGCAAAGCTGGCAGGTTTGAGCAGGCCAAGGAAACGTTCGGGGAAATCAGATTCCTCGGCGAGCCGCTGGACAAGCGAGCCTATGGGTCGATGATAATGGCCTACATCCGAGCAGGGAAGCCCGAAGAGGGGGAGATGCTGCTTAGAGAGATGGACGCCCAAGAAATATATGCCTGCAAAGAGGTCTACAAGGCTATGCTAAGAGCATACTCTTTAGCCGGCAGACCTGATGGCGCCCAGCGAATCTTTGATGCCATTCAGCTTGCAGGCATCGTCCCGGATGCCAGGCTCTGTGCGCTTTTGATCCATTCCTACTGTGCTGTCCATCAGTTGGATGAGGCGATGAGTGTGCTGGAGAACATGAGGGCCGCAGAAATCAAGCCCAATGATAAATGCGTTGCCTTGATGATCGGCGCCTTCCAAGAGGAAGGCAAGCTTGATCGGGCAGTGTCCCTTCTCATGGACTTGGAGAGGGATGGAGTCGTCACTGGCAGAGAGACATCCAACGTGTTGACCCAGTGGTTCCGTCGGCTGGGCTTGTCAGACGAGCTGGAGGACATTCTACGGAGTTGATTGATCTCAGTTGTTTATATCACGATGATGTGCATGCATTCTCTCCCTTTGGTGGATCGAAGTGGGGAATTTTATGTTCGCCATTTTTATTCAAGTCTCCATTTTCTTGGGCGGCAGCTGTCGGAGCGATCAGCATCAGGATCAAAGTGGATGAAAGCGTACAACAAGGGTATCGGCTGCGGCATTCCTCCTGGAGTCTACAAGCACGTAGAAAGACACAGCAGAGTATTAAAATGTGCCGTCCGAAGACTCTCAAGATTCCACCCAAAGCTCGGGAATGTGGCCGTGGAGTCTCTGCCCATAAAAATTAATGGCAGAACAGGAGATCAACGCCTTTTGCACACACCAAGTATTAAAATGACTGACCCAGAAGATTATTGTTTTGGGTCGGCAATCAAGGCTGAATCTTCACTACCACTAGAAAATGACCCGCAGGAAAAGTTATGATCGAATGACGTTCTGGGAAGAATGCTGTTCAATATTATCGCGTCAGTCGAGACAGCAAAACGCCGTAAATGGAAGGAACTTACTTTAAATTTCTTGATTTCAGAAGAGAAAGAAGAGAACATGGGTCAGGATCCATCATGGTGCTTGTGGAAAACATACTTTTTTGCAGAGAGAAGATGGAAGCAGCGTTACCACCCTCATTGCGCTGTAATATCGGCTCTCCATATACGCCAGTGATGGTGCCACCAAGCTAAGGCCACAACCTTCACGGGCAAATCTCAGCGCATAAAATAAAGGGGGAGGTGCTGCAAGATGAGAGATTTCCCCACCCATCTTTCGTCCATCTCTCCACTGTGCTTTGTATCAGCTTCATCAGCAAAGAACCAAACTCAGAAGGACGATTAAGAAGGCTTAAAGCACGACACACGGATGATACCATATGCCATCCTCATTAATAAAACAAACTCGTGTTTCAGATCACAACCGAATCATTATCCAGCAGCTATCACCACGTGCCTTGAAGACAATCGGTAGAGATTATCCTTTCCAGACATGCTGTGCATGGGGCAACAGAAGAATAAGAAGAGGAGCCCTGCCAAAACTCTTGCACTTGCTAAGTTCGTCATTCATGCATGCATATGTAATGATGTTCCAAAGGAGTATAGCTCCTCAAGACGATTTACTAGTCGATGAACAGAAAATGAAATGCATCGACCAGCAGAGATGGATGATAAATCGACGGATCATGGAATATTTTGGCAGGATGCCCAAACACAGAATAAATTGTTACGTGAAAAAGAGTAAATAGAATATTTTTTTTTTGACTTTCATTATCAGTTTTCAAGGTTACTCAGACGAAAATTTGTCATAAAGTAAATTAATTTAAACTCTACTGATGAAGTTCAACAATGTCGAAAAATCTTCATCTGGCCTTTGTCTGCTCCACCAGTCAGAAAAGCCCTACCGAGGAAGCTCACAGCTCTTTTAATAAACCCTCCTTGGAGAGAAAGGAGAAGGTGAAAACAGCTATATTATATATTTTCAGGTGTGTTTAATATTAATCAATACCTTTGCGGTATTATATAGATTTGGGCCAGTACATCTGTTCAAGAAGTTGGGTCTTAGAAATGTCGAGTTAACAAAATAATTCATCCAAATTTCGAAAGTAACTCCTTTTATGAATTATTCAAGATAACCGACTGCAAGAACCATACTTGCAGGATTGACCCAAAAGTTCATGCTGTGAGAGTTTTCTGGAAAATAAAGCGAATTACAGCCAATTTAGTGGAAAATTTGACCTCCAGTCGTTCACTAAACCATTTCTGATTGAGGTCACATAGTTGGCCAGTTATCATGATTCCAAAAGTGAAATAAAATAATTAAAAATAAACCATGTATACTTTAAAGCTGGAAGTAATCTGAGAAGTTTTTCTTATTTTTTTTATTTTTTAAACTCTTGATAACATGACCATGTATAGGTAGTGTATTATGTACTCAATATCCACAGCACCTAAGCCGAAATTGTGGTGCTAGATGAAAGCCACTTTAGGGAAGATTAAGTGCCATGGTCCATAACCGATCATTGAAGAAGCTAACCTCTTTTTCATGTTTCGAAAACGACAATTCCGGAAAATAATGAATGTTCTAGGCATCAAAATCATACGAGACAGCAGTCAAAAGTTCACCAGTGAACAAATAAAACTGAATAACCAGGGAACATTCTTACCGGTATCTGCATGCTCACCACCACTCAGAATTATCACAGTTTAGCTGGGATAAACAGAAGATTGGCATGGAAGCAGCCATAGAATTTGAGATATGCTGAACAACTGATATGCAGATGCACACGATAGAGAATTACTTTGCAAGCAAACCATATCATATGACCCAAGGGTGTCTCATACATCAATGACAAAACAGAAAATGGCACCACAGCGTATTTATAGTCCAGTATGTCTGAAGGAGTATTTTACCCTGTTGATCATGCCATCGTCGATTACATCCCTGTGTATCTTTTTAAACAGTTCATACCAAGAAGAAATCATTGAAAAAACTCAGATAATTGAAAATGCAGATTGATTTTTTTATTTATTTATAAAAGACCAACACGAAAAGAACATGACACCAATTACATCAGACAAAAAAGTCAAGACAAGGTCAAGGCCATTGTAGTGGGAGGAGTACCGTTCAAGTTATTTCTCTTGCTAGAGCTTCAGAATCTTCAAAGATCCAAACTCTTTGAGAAGATAGCTAAGCATAGGTTAAACCCTCGAAGAACTGCAACGTGGTATGCCCAGCTCGTCATTACAATCCGTACCCGCATTAGGAAAAAGAGGAGCACAGAGCTTTCAGAGCATTCGGATCAGGAAAAAGGAGCCATTCCATTCTCAAAGGACGATCTTGGGGCAACCTATTGATTTCCCCCGCCTAGGCCGAAATAAGTGACTACTAGCTTTTGTCTTTGTAAGAAATGAATCTGCAATGAGCTCGATACAAAGGGCGAGAAACCCACAATAGACTGAAAACAGTTGGCTGGACTCACCGCAGAAAAATACGAAGGGATTTTGCATAACATTGTGGCCAGAATAACCACCAAATAATAAAGAATGATTATTTTAAAAGGATATGCGAAATTAAATATGCACGCCTCATGGGACCACAATGATCAAGCGGATTCAGAAAAGCCAGGCGAAGACCTTTGAAATATTCCAACATGTACCATATAAAACGATCTTGCCTACTACGCAGGAAGGGGCCACAAAGAGACTTGTCAATTTACAGGAAAACACTCCGAGAGGGAAAGGGAACGACGACCAGGGAGAAAACACGGAGGGAAGAACAAGACTGTATATAGATAGCCCTCCAGCATCACGCATTCGTCGCTGTGACCACACACCGGCCAGGAGCGGACGCGTGAGAAGAAAAATGGACAGACCCGCAGAGAGTGATCTCAGCCCCCCCCCCTCTGTTTCGCGAGAGAGTAACGTTCGCAGAAAGGGCAAGCGATTCGGAGGAAGGCGCCGAGAGAGTCAGGGGTGGGTCACCTACTCGCCCCGCCGTCGCCGTCGGGGTCAAGAGAACTCCCCAAACGGTAGTAGGAAGCCGGCCGCAGGGGAAAGAGGGAGTTTGGTCAACGGTAATTGAAAAACGGATGAGCCGAACGGCTCTGAGCGCGTGGGGATCCCCGGTGCGGACATTTTCGGGTGCAAAAAGATAATGCCAAAATTATCAGGGTCTTTAGTATAATAAACAGTTCCCCCTACCACTGTCCGTGCTGGACAGTGAGTTGACTTGGGTGGGGCCCAATTTTCATACACACCCAAGAACATATTTTTCACTTTGTTTTTTTTTTCCTAACAGAGCCGTATTTCTTCCAACAACAAAAAAATAATAGCAAAAGAAAAACAGAACGGATGTTCCCGAAAGTGTTGACGTCACATTGTCTTGATAGTTTCTTGGGGAAGAACGAAAAAAGAGAGACTTTGCGAAAGCAGCAGGAGAGGCCAGGTGATAGCGGGTTTCAAAGGCGATAGCGGCGTGCCCCAGCGATGAGCTACAGGGCGGATGAGATGGGCACCGGGCTGTGCTGAACGGTGATTCCCACCTCCCCCGGCGGCGGCGGCGCCCGCGTCAGTTCGTCCATCTCCGCCGCGAACCTCTCCATGGCCTCCGCCGGCAGGCACAGCGGCACGACGATGCCCTCCTCGCCTTGGGAGTTCCTGACGGGTATGTAGAAGGAGGCCAGGCCGGGGATGGCGCCGACGCCGCCCATCGCCGGCCCCCCGTACGCCGCCTTCCCCCACCCGAAGTCGACGTCCCCGAAGTCCGCGCGGGTCACGTCGGAGACCAGGAAGGACCGCACCACCGTGAAGTGGGGCCGTCCCCGGAGCACTAGCAGGTCCGCCAGCGAGCGCATGTACTCGTCGTCAACTTCGGACTTGACCCTCCCGATCAGCCCGACAGCATAGCCCAGCGGGTTCGACGTCAGCTTCCCGGCGGTGGTCACAGCCACGGGGAAGGCGAAGGAGTTGCCGTAGTAACCTCGCGGCGGCGGCGTGAAGGCCCCTCCCCTGGCGTTGATGATGCAGATAATCCGGACCTCGTCGTCCGGCGACGGGCGGAGCGCCGCCGTGCGGCATCGCCACAGGCAGGCCGTTACGATCTCGAATCGGGACCGCTGGCGGAGGTGCGGCGGCAGGCGGGCACGGAGAGCCGCCAGTTCTCGGGGCCCGAAGAAGACAGACCGGTGGACCTGTTCGGAGAAGGGAACTATGGTGCCCTCGACCTCCTCGTACTCGCGGTGGACGCGCGTGACCTGTGGGGGGTCCCTGGCCTGGAAGATCTCGCGGCCCCACACCGGCGGAACCGCTGGCGCCGGCAGACCCCGTGCCATCTCCCCGACGGCGTTCATAAACTGCACCAGTCCCGGCGCGTCTGCCATCGTGTGGTTGAGCAAGATGGAGACGGCGAACCCGCCGCAGAGCAGACGGGTCACCTGGAAAAGCAGCAGTGGGGAGCCGATGACGCATTCCGGGCCTTTGGCGACCGGAAGGAGCTCCTCGATGCAGGGGAAGGGCGGCTGTAGAGCGTCGCCGAACTCTTCCAGGCGGACGTCGGCGTCGGCCTCCCCGAACAGGATACCCTCTCCGGTGCAGTCCACGCAGAGCTTCCGGCAGGGCCCCTCCCGGAGCCGGCCGGCGAAAGGGTAGTAGTGGACCAGTGCTCGAGAAAGGCCATCCCGGATGGCCATGGCCGGGTCCTTGCCGACCATGCTGGGGTCTTGCCGGTAGAACTGGATCACGGGGATGAGGAATCTCAGGCCCTCCTGGTCGTCGATGTCGGAGAGCCGCTTGACCTCGCGCGGGGTGGGCGCTGCCGGGCGGACGAGCTCCGGGTCGCGCCTTCGAACGGAGAAGATCAGTGAGGAGGCTGCCATGGGAGAAGGAACAGGGTGGAGCTAACGAGAAACCGGAGAGGAGAGTCTCAAGAAGAAGAAGAAGAGGAAGTAGAAGAAGAAGCAGAAGTTCTGAGTGCCTTCTTGGTCAGTGAAGAAGAAGCCGGGCAGGCATTTATAGAGAGGGAGGCTGAGGGTGAGTTGTTGGGGCGCTCTGTAGTAGGATTCGACGATGCTGGTTCGATGAGTGTGCAGTGAAATTGACGGGAAGCGGAAAGAAAGCTTCGCGGCTGCTAAGCCCTGGTGGGCCCTCTCGACGTTCGTTCCACCGGTCTCCTGGACCCCACGAGCCACCTTTTTTTCTTCGACACCCACACCCGCCAGACCACCTCCACCCACCATTGGCCCGCATGACCTGGCGGAATACGCCCGCAGGTTCTACGAAACGAAGAAGTCGACGCTGACTGAGAGGTCCCCTTGCCACGCATGATCCCCCGCGGCGGGAGGAAGTTTGAGGTGCAGCTGCGGAATGCGACAACGTCTCTTCGGTCCATAAGATAATTCAAATTAATTAATTAATGCTGATAAAGTTCTGCGTAGGTTCGTTTGCAGAAGGATTCCCTCCTCCAGATCCATATTCAGTTCTCAAGAGGGGGGGGGAGGGGGTCCTCCTCGGATCCTCTTTCTCTCTCTCTCTCTCTCTCTCTTGGACGACCGTAGTTTGACCAGCGTCGTGGATGGGGAAGGGCCCACCGCATGCGTGCATCCAAGCTGCTTTCTTTCTTCGGTTAAAGCGTGGGATTTTCTTCACACGTGGAGACGAAGATGGTAGTAAATGCGGGGAAATCTGGATAAATGAGATAAAATCATTTTATCAGCTGTTTTAAAAAAGTCTACCTCTGGTAGCGGGCTGGGCTGGGCTGGGCTGGGCCGGAGGCTTTTGCGGGCCCAATTTTGACGCCGTTACTCTAACGTTGACTTAAATCGAATGCCGCCGCACCTCGACTCCACCGCGCGATGCATATCCGATGGATGAGGACGAGACAAACGGTCGCTCCAGCTGTTCGCGCTGCCGTCGGCGTGCCACGTGGAGGACGGACGGCTATCCCGAAAGGAAAGCGGGGGGGGGGGGGCTGGGGAGCATATCGAATCCACTGCTTTCTTGCTTGCTTGCTGGGGGCGCACGAGGGCGCGTCAACCCTGCTCGCGCCGAAATTACGCTGAGGCCCCTGAGAATAAAAACCTCACGCCAACGCGATGTCCAAGGAGAGAGGAGAGAGAGAGAGAGAGAGAGAGAGAGAGGAGAGGGGGAGGGGGGGGGAGAAGGCGACGGGGGGAGGAGGTGGGAGAGGATGTTGTGATTCTGTCCTGATTCACCCTCTCCGGTGGAGAGAATTTCGTCCGTACTGGTTTGCCCCTGCTGATTTCGGTCAGGGACTGCCGGGGGGGGTGGTGGGTTACCTTCTCGGCGGAGGACCGCGGCAAGGGGCTGGGAGGACGTCGCAAGGATGGGACTGGAGTCGTCGGGCCGGATTCCTCTGCCGCACTCTGCAGGAGTTGGGGGTCGTTTGGCCGGGTAGGCGATTGCCGGCGGGCGGCATTTGTTCAATCCCTGATGATCACGCACCGCGCGCTTTCCGCGATGGGTGTCTGATCGGAGTTCTGGTGGGGGTGAGAGATGGACGCTGCGGCGGAGGCGATGGACGATCGGGGAGATGGAGCTGATAGATCGGATGGCCCATGGAGACCGCGCGTTGGCGCGTTCCGGAAGTATTCTGGGTCCAAGGGAACGACGAGAGTGGAGACTGTGCTCTCTCCAGCCGGGATTCGGAGCTCCCAGAGATCCAGCGTGGGTCTGCGGGTGATCGTGAAGAAGACGGTGTGTTCTCTCTCTCTCTTAACCCCACTCCGCCGCCTCCCTCCTCTTGCAAGCCCTCCTCCAATTTCCTTCCGTCCGTTATTTGGATGGAGAAGTGGAGAGCACTTCTCGAGCTTATTTCCATTGAATTGAAGTATTGCTGTGTTTTCTTTATCTCGTACTCCACGAGCTATTCAAATATCGATGTCAATGTCTCATTTATGTTGTATTTTTTCTCCTGAAGTGGCATAGAAAAACAGTTCAAACGAAAAATGAATTAGTACTGTTTCCCGAGTTATTCCGTAAAATGTCCTTTCTCGACATGTAGAAATGTTCAAGTATACTGTCTGTGGTTGGACTCTTATCGTTCATCGACGACCTTTGTTTTTCGTCGTTGAGATTGATTTGATGTTTTCTCAAGTCGTCCTTTCAGTTCAGTGAATTTGGGGCTTTGAATACGAGTGCTATAGAAGTATGATCAGGGCAAAAAAGAGGAAAGTTGGCTGTTGGAGAAAAGGATTTTCTCCCTTGAAGGGTTTCAAGAGGTGACTGCGTAGTGCTCAGAAGCCAAGAGATGTGCTGAAGTGCACAGATGAGGGTACCACAGTCACAGTGGACTCCTTTCTCTTGGTGACAGGTGACCACAGGGGCTTAAAAACAATCTTTCACCTTTGTGGAATTCGAGTGGGGATAGAGGCCTGTGTTCCTAGATAGTAATAGCCACAGGTTGGCGAAGAAAGGCTAATCAATCCATCAATCTGTAATCACCTTCCAGTTTCTGCACAATTGTATGCGTTGAAAAGTTTCTTTCCACTACTATCCAGGAATTCCATTGAACGTTTTAAAAAATGTACGGGTAGTCACCCACTAATTTCATATCCGTTACTACCCAGAAAGGTCGATGGAACTCCTAGCCTCCAAAGTTGTGTTGGATAACAATTGCCATAAGGTTCGTGCTAAGTAAAAGGATATGCTCCCTTGGATACCGTGAATTTTGTGATGTTTGGGTCACTTGTGTAAATATTCTTCGTCATTTGGAAAATGGATTGGAGAATGAGGAAGAAAGAAACAGTGACGTCCTCATAATATTTAAAAGATCGATAATAAAAATCTACTGGTCATATACAGTGATGCAGAACAACCTAGAGAGTGCTAAGAAGTTAGACCGTTGTGTAGTTACAAGAGTCTACTCTTGTAGTTTCTTTATCTGTCACATATATCATTCCCGTCCAAGCTATTGTATTCAACGTCAGAGGACCTTACATTTAAACTCTCTGAGGTCTGCTGCCACAACCCAATTGTAATAATTCTTGGCTTCCCACTTCTTCTTATGAACTTTTTTGTGATAGGGGAGCGACCATGCTGGCCTACTTTCAATTTATGCTAAGAGTTGAAACAATTATATGGGTGAAATATGGAGATTTCCTAGATATTGATCACCTTCTATGATGAATGAATTATATAAAAAGACCCATCATGGCAAGATGTTTCGTTCAAGTACTCATATGTGTACTGCGAATCAATATATTTCAGAAAAAATAATTCTAGCATGTTTCTCTTTGCCTTTCGTGCAGTAATTTTTATCTATTAGTCGGATTATATTTAAGTAAGGTCACATCTGAAGTACTAGTACTTTTGTTTGTTGTGCACGTTTTCACTAACTGTGATCTGGTTTCTGACAGATTTTATGATCTTTTCTGGTAATTTTACTCTTCTGCAGATGGTTGCACGATTGACTAGAGACATAGTTGAAACATATCAAGTATGCAACCCAAGCTTTAAATATTTTGAAGCTTTAAATCCGAAGCGGTACCTTACATCCCCACATACTGGAGTGTCGAATGACGGCCATGACAATGAGAAATCAGATCTAATTCTGAGCGTTAATCTTGTGTTGGTCGCACCATATCAAAGGTATGGTTCTGTGCCATTTCCCCCCTCTTTTAGGTGTTTTCCGCGTGTTGAGAATATGTTCAGTGAAACAAGACGGTTACATGTTTGACATCGAAATTATTATCATAGTTACTGCAAATTACTTCAAAATTATTGCTTCAACTGAACTTTGTGCTCCTACAAATTGACTTCCTAGTTAGAAACCAAATATGGTCAGGGCGGGTATTATATTTGCATTTAATCAAAAAAGGTGACAAGAGAGAAGCCAAATAGTCTTGTACCTCTTCTTCACGTGATCATGAAGAAAGTGAAGAAAACTGCTATTTCCGACACCTGAAAGGGTTGATATTTGTGATCATTTGCAAAGTAATTAGTCTTGTTAGCAACTTTGGAGGTTTAGTTGGTGAAATAGATAGAGGCTTTTTAATTTGGTAAAAGGTCAAATGATATGTCTATAAGCAGTGGAACGTGTATGGCATTTTCACCATTGTGTCAAATGAAGGGGAGTTTGATGCCACTCTTTTCCCTGGATGAAGTGTTTGTGTCAGAGTGTATGAGACAGAACAGCCCCCAAGCACTGAATGATACATTGTGTCAGAGTGATGCTTACATATTCATTGTTGGGGATAGGCCTGATTTACCAGTGTTTTAGGGATAACTTAAATGGCCGATTATTTAGAAGCAAGGTCACACACCTTAGATTGGGCTTCTCCTTGTTTATTTTTTCATGTTCTTTTCGTTTCAATTTTTCTTTACTTCAGATATATTGTCAAAGAAATCCTTGGACATGGTACATTCGGCCAAGTTGCCAAGTGCTGGTCTCCTGAGGCAAACAGCTATGTTGCAGTAAAGATTATTAAGAATCAACCCGCATATTATCGCCAGGCATTAGTTGAGATATCCATCTTGCGAACGGTAATCATATTTTACATGTTTTGGATCATGCCACGTTTGACATTCGTCTTATTTTGTCTTGATATAATTCCTTGTTTCTTTTCAGCTAAATCAGACATATGATCCTGATGATCAGCACCATATAGTTCGCATCCTCGATTGTTTTGTTCACCAACGCCATTTATGCATTTCGTTTGAAATGCTTGGCTCTAATTTGTAAGTGTTCTTTCCTGCTTTTCTCCACATTTTTCAGTTTTTATTCTGGTCTACTGTAAGTTTCCTTTTCACATAGAAGTGACGGATCTGGATCATTTATAGGTACGAGTTGCTTAAGATGAACCACCATAAAGGTTTGGCACTGCATGTTATCCGGGAATTTTCACATCAGGTGCACCTTGTTTACTTCTTGTGGCAATTAGCATATATCCTTCTTGTGGCAGCTTTGTTGTCAATGATCTCTCACTATTTCATTGTTTTTTTCCCTCTTTTCTTTTTGGGTACTCAGATTTTGCATGCTTTGGTCATCATGAAAGATGCGGGCATTATACATTGTGATTTGAAGCCAGAAAACATACTCCTTTGTGGAAGGTGAGAGGTATCAGCATTTTCCTTTGTTTTCGTTCGAGTATTTGTTGCCTGAGTTGATGACCATGCTGTATAACCCTACTTTTGTGTCATTGCCTTACACAGCAAGGAGAAGCCTACAGCAATTAAGGTTATTGATTTTGGATCAGCCTGTAAGGAGGGTCGTACAATTTACTCATACATTCAGGTTCCTCTTCAAATATGTTACTCGGTTAAGCCTTCTTCAAAAATATTGATCTTGTCCTTATTCCTTCTCTGCTTTCTCTGGTGCAGAGTCGTTACTACAGGTCCCCAGAGGTTCTTCTTGGATACCCGTATCCTTATTGTTAGTTGATGAACCACTCTGTGTGCAGAAAACTGAGATCTCTTTGGAACTGTAATCTTTATTGTGTATTTCCTTTTTTAATTTTGATCCTGATCATACTTTGTTAGTCACATTGTTTATGTGATGTGGTGCCTTGTTTTTGTTCTTAACTAGTCAACCAGATATAATACTGCCATTGATATTTGGTCAGTTGGGTGTATAGTTGCAGAACTATTTTTAGGGTTACCACTGTTTCCTGGAGCATCAGAGTTTGATTTGCTGAAGAGAATGATTGACATACTCGGGTATAAATCCTATAATTTTTTATGAATATTTATTTTATTAACGTTTTCTTATTTTCTTTGGGTCAAACTCGATCTATGTCTGTGAGCCTGGGATGGGGATTACACATTTTTAGCTTATAATTTTCTCTTCTCAAGCATGGCTATCTTTTCTCCCATGGCGAAATAGAGAGATCAGAGGCATTAGGACAAAAAAGATAAAAAGTGCTGCACAGCCCCATTTTCCTCTCTCTCTCTCTCTCTCTCTCTCTCTCTCTCTCTCTCTCTCTTCCCCATCCATCAACACACAAAAGACGTTATTTGTATGGGTTTACAGCAAATATAATCAACTATAGTTGACATGTTTTACTTTTGAAAGATAATCTTTGGAGGTTTTCGTCCCAGCAAATGGGATGGTCTAGTATATATAAGGGAAACGATTATTTCACATTATAATAAAACTACATACCTGCTACACAAAAAGCTAGCAGGTTTACTTGATAGATTTTGGAATGTGTTTTTCAGAGTAGGAATATTCTTTCCTAACAAACAATCTAAAATCTTTTGTGCCGTTATAGAGCATTTCCAGAAATGGTAATGCGATGTAATTATGAAAGTGGGAGGTATAGTAATCAAAATAATACAAGCATTTTTAATTTCTTGGAAACTAAAGGTCTAATGTATTAACCATACGTTAACTCCCTCATAAATTCGTGAGTAGCTCTGATTCATTTCTATGCAAATTCAATCTACACGCTCCACTTTTCAATCAGGTCTGAGGCCTTACAAAAAATATTTATAACAGTTTTTGGATAACTTTCTTGTGACTATCAATTTTTTTTTTCTACTTTATTCTTGCAAGGCTGTATAATTCTCCAAAGTAATATATTTATTGTATAATGCTATCATTTTTACCCACTGTTTTTGAAGATCAAATGCTTGTCTACATTCTTAATAGCATTTATCAATTTATATTCGACATTGGGGACGGCAGTTACGGGATTTAACTAATGACATGTGATTCTGTCTTAAATTTGTTTCTCTAGGAAATATGCGCGAGAATCCGAAAGTCTTCTTTACTCTTATTGAATTTAATATATTGCGTGTTTGAGTTCCATTGCATGTATTCTTATGTGGCTTATTTCGGACTTTAGATATTAGTGGATTCAACCCATTTCTTTTCTTATTGTCATCTCTGGGTTTTGACTCATCCAGGTTTGTACACTTTCTTAAGGCTTTCACGATGGGTAATGTGTTGTTTGTTGTCATGCAGTGAGCAGCCCCCTGATGATGTACTCCGAGAGTCAAAGAGTACAAGCAAGTATTTTAAGTATGTTGGAAGCATTCATAGTTTGGATTTTGATGAGTCACGTAAAGGATGCCATAGTGCTTACCGTTTATTGAGTGATGAGGAATATGAATCTGTGAGTCATACCATCATTTCTGACATACTTCATCATCTTTTATTTCGTACTTATTTCATTGATGAATTTCATACAGAGAGAGATGAAGAAACCAGTTATTGGCAAGAAATATTTTGGTAACCTTGTAACGCTTGAAGAAATTATCCGTGGCTACCCTTACCGAAGAAACATTAGTGAAAAAGAAATGGCTGAAGGTTTGTCTGTTTGAATATTTGAGGTTTCATTTGAATATCAGAAGAATGTCAAATATTACTAATCTCTGTTGAGTTAATATGTAGAAAGCGTGAGCCGTTCAGCATTGATTGACTTTATAAAGGGTCTTATTGAGTTTGACCCTGTGAAAAGGTGGTCTCCATTGCAGGTTTGTTAGCCGATGATGAATGCCATCTGCTTCGGAGATCATTTTTCTTGTCAATCTATTTTGTCAAGAGTTCTCATGTCTACAGGTTATTTTGTGCAGGCTTCCAAACATCCTTTTGTGACAGGGGAGCCTTTTACATGCCCTTATAAGCCTTTACAAGAGACGCCTCATATTGTGAGTTAAAGATACCCTTTTGAAATTTTGTTTAATTCAATGGTAATCTGTCCGTCTTGAGCCCTTTGATTGTTCGAGGATACTTAGAGTAGGGATTTTAGATTTCATATCCATTTTGCATGGAAAATGCTTATTTGGTATCTATGAATGTTTCTTTGTATTAAAGTTTATCATCGTTGATTTTGAAGAACCCATGGTTGTGAAACAATTTTATTGGTTCTGGAAAATTATTATTTTTTTATTTCTTTCTTTTTCATGGTAGGTTTTCCACTTGTAGTTTTATAGGTACTGTGTAGTGATTATATAATGGTAGGTTTCGCGTGGTGTAATGGGTGTCACATCAGGCCCTTGACGTTGCGTATTATCTTGATTTCACAGATTCTTAGTATTTCATGGTAACAAAGTTTCAATTCTTATGTTTTGTGATTCAGCCAGTCATACACACAGCAACAGTGGAACATGATCCTGGTAGAGGCCATTGGCTAGCTGCTGGTCTTTCTCCTCAGGTATGCACAGTTCCAAGCTTTTGTCAGAGTGTTTAAATGATAGAGTCATCTTTTCTTCTTAGAGGAAGAAAAGTTTAGCATCTTGGGCAATATAATTTGGTTTTAAACTGTGCTACATATGTTTTCCTGCTGGATTTATTCTTGTAGGTTTCAAATTTTAGTCAGGGTACCAGGCAGAGTAGCCCTCATTTTCAGATGGCATATTCTTCTCGTGGTGGTAGCTATTGCAGTTTTGGCAGCTACGGCAGTTACAACGACAATGCTTTCCAAGGGAGCAGTTATGGGAGCTATGGAGATGGCAACAACAGCATTGCATATTGCTCACCAGCTGGGCCATCTGCAATGTACATCCAGACCCAAATTGGAGGGTCAATTCTGGGAGCTAGCCCTGATATAAGGCAGCGACATCAAATTTCTCATGGGTCTGGATTTGGTGTGAGTCCTACGGGGAATTTCTGCTCAATGTCTTTGGGAGTCAGTCCCTCACAATTTACTCCTCCAAGTTCTCAAATTCAGGTAGCACCCATTTCCCCCGGGAAGTATGGACCGACGTCCCCAGCAAGAGGTAGTGTTCACGGGTCCCCATTGGGGAAGGGTTCTGGAATTGGCAAGTACAATAGAAAAAGAAATAACAGGGGTTATCATGGCTCATCGGGTTTGCCATCGCATGAGAGTACATCTCAACAATGGCAGGGCCATCATCCTGATGGCTTCAACTCCGGTCATCCTGAGGGAAATTTTCAAGCACAGGTTGGTTCTCCTCGCCACTCTCTGCCAGCATCTAACCAGTCAATATGGAGGCAGCAAAGAAGTGGGATGGGGTTTCCATCAGGATCCTCTTCGGTTATTCATTCGGATTACCCACCTTTGCATCCGTCCAGTTCAGGTGTAATTCCTTCACATTCATCAGAAATTTCGTTTGATAAGCAGGAAGTCAGCTCATCATCTCCAGATCCAGGGGATTGGGATCCTAATTATAGGTACTATTATGTTTAAAGAATTTTCTGTTGCATGTCTAGGTTTTACTCTAAGGCCCGGATTATACCATATTATGACTTGGTGAAAACATTTTCTAACATCATTGTTGAGCTGCATCTACCTAATCTTTCTTGAAGAAATATGCTACAAAATAAGGCCACTTGGTAGAAAAAAAGGCGCTGTTCTGGATCTTGTACTTTTACATGAAAAGAGGTTTCCAGTACGAAAATCAGATATAATTCATAACTTTGCATTTTACTTGTAAACTATTATTGATTGTTGATTGTTGATTGTTGAATGTTCGCTGGAGTAGAAATGAACTTCTGGTTTCCCAGGATTGGTTGTCTTTTTGCTCAATTGTGTTCAAGAGGGAGAGAAACGAGATAATCATCATCTCCTTTTTCTTCATTTTTTAAAAAAACCGAATGCAACATAGTACCTGGAGGTATTAATTTGGTCCTAAAACAAGAGGTAATCCACAAAATATTAGAGAGCAGGAAAAATAAGACGTTAAGAAAGCACCTGTAAATTCAAAAATCGGTAAATGGAATTTAATTATAGTCATGCCATTGCTGCGCACATGTACCTGTATGCAAATCGTTTTAATGTATTAATTTCGTCATTGATTGAATGACTGAGTGTGATACTGTGATTCAATCATGAAGATTTATTTTCTCGTCTTTGGCGATGCATGTTTGATCAATACATTAAATTTTAGGGCATTCTTCCAATCTAAGATAACTTGTTCCCTTCATTTACTGGCCTTCAAATGTCGCAAAGATATGCTGTTCTTAGGTCCAACGACATCATTTTGAGCCTGAAACTTGACCCATGACACATGGCTCCTTCTCTGGATGGAAGCACATCAGCTAATGAAAGGAATATTTTCTTATTAGTGTGGACTTAACATTGGAAACATTCATTATGCATTCAGTCTTGTTGTTTGGGTATATATATCCACACACTTTTATTAGTCTGTTGATGATGTATGCGCATTCACAAATGTTCATGTTAGTGTGAATTTTGTTTAATTTCTCCAGTGATGAGCTTCTTTTGCAAGAAGATAATCCCGATGTGAGAAATCTGACCTCAGAAATTGCCAATGGGATGCACCTTGGACATGCGACAGACACTGCTGGTTTACCTGGTGGTGGTGTTAATTATAACTGGGGGCATAGTCACTACCGTCCGAGTTTTAACCTGTTTCCCTCAAATGAAAGGTATCTATTGTTTTCCTTGGTTCTCAAACTTTGAATTATTCATAATCTGTTGAAACCATCTAGAATGTGAGCACTTAGGATAACTTTGGCCGTTCTAGCCATGTTTATTTTTTGCTTGGAGCTATTCTTCATTATTAATGCATTGCCTATATCATTTGCTGACGTCTTTTTGTATAGAGATGCCAAGGATAGGTGATCAGTGATCGATTTTGTTTCATATAACAGAATATGGACAGTGCGACCAGTATTTCACATAATGTGAAGAAAATGAATTGGTTGAGATAGAAACACCAATAATCAGATTGGTCTAGGTACACAATTACGTGGGTATGTTGTTGCACCACAGTAAATGATGCCCTAAAAACGCCTTACCAGAAATATAACAGAGTTGCATGAACACAAAATCAGTGAAAAAAAAGCTCATCACTGGTGTAAACATGTTAGTGTTTGACACCTGGTTGGAATCAGCTAGTGTGGTCTCTAACAAAGCCTAACACTTGTTGGAAAGCTGTTCATCTGTTCTTGAAATGATGATTTGTCTATCTGAGAACGAAATGAATGGGCAAAGTTTTTAAAATTGATTTTTCATAGCATCGAATGATCTGGACCAACTACTGTCTTGGCAATCCCCCATTCTTGAGGTGGATAAGGTGATGAAAAGGAAAGTGACAAAGACGAGATGGAGTAACAGATGAAAGACTGTAGGATTATGGACCTGGACACTGAAGCATTATTAGTACTGACGGCTATGCTGCGGCTGATATCCTGCCTCCCATGGAGCCCCTTTCAGCCTTGGGCTGCTGGGCTCGTTTCTGACATCAACTTCCACCAGCGCAGTTGACGACACATCTACATTGGTTTGTGTAATCTTATCCATGCTCCATGGTGAACAAAACCACATACAGACCATCCAGAGAGAAAAAGACCTAGGCGGCATGGGAGGAGACATCGGGGCCCAAGTCACTGGGAACTATGTCTCTCTTGCCTTCAGTTTTTAGATGGGTGACACTAATTTATGAGGAATGAAGTCTAGAAATTTCGGCCATTTTAATGGATTCCGGTGGTGTTCGAAATGCCTAGATGTTTACTCATCAAATTCAGTAAAGCAGAACTTACGGCAGGGTCCGATTAAATATGGCTATTCTATAGCGTGTTTTCGAAAAAATGGCTGCATCGATGTGCACTCTTCTCTGGTGTTTTTCTTTTCAGTTCCCTTTTAATAGAAACCAAGGGCTTGATCTGCGTTTTACATTAAAAGAGTTGTAGAATGCAAATGATACCCGAATTATGTCAAAAACATAATATACTGAGCCACTTTTGGCATCAACAGCATGTAACCCTTCAGAATCCAAGGGTATCATACCTACATAATCCATTTGATCTTGAAAACCAAAGATTTCACACGTGTTCTTATCCTGGGCCTCTTTATGTTTTATTTGTCCTTTCTACGTACATGCTATGTTTGTCAAGATGTATCCACATTTTGATTAAGCCGTTTGTGACAACATTTCACACCCAAATGGTCCACTTAGTGACTTTTTTGTCTGTGACAATGGATTTTGTTTCTGTTCTAGTCGTGGAGCGTTTCATTTACTAGAACCACGTGCAAGATTGGTTTTATCTAACTAACAGCGTTTCATGGGATTACTTTGTGTTTTGCGTCTGTTTTTAGCCTGTAAGAGTTTCTTTCTCACCACATGATTATTATTTTTTTATTTGTCGCAGAAGAGATGAAATGTCTCAGTCATATTCGAATACAGATGGCCACCCCTCTTTGGTTCATGAGATGCACGCTGGTCATAATCGATTAAGCCGTTTTGGGCAACAACCTCTTCATCGTTTTCAGCACATGCCGTCAACTTCCCTGCAAAGGAACAGGAGTCACCAGACGAGTCAGCTGATCAGACCCAATTTCAATACGGCAGATTCTCGCTCTGCTGCGAACCAGGCATTTGGTGGTAGCACTTCGTGGGGTAAGATATCTTTCCATAAAGGCAGGCTTGATCGAAATTCCTAATATCATGCAGACAAAGTGCTAGTTGGCCTTGACTTGCTCATATGCTTGCTTTTCAGTTTTTTTTAAGTTCCCTTGCATGATTTTTTGGAATTAGCTGATGCCAGTTAGTCCCTAGTGAAATTGTTCCAGAAGAAAAGAAATCCTGTCACAGCAGTTCTGCTGCAAAGAGAGAAAAAGGAAGAAGTGAGTCTTTTTGGCTCCAATAGCCTGAATCAGGGATGGAGGGGAGACTGAGTGGTTCTTTATGCATCCTCTTAAATATCTTCTTTTACGTTTTTTTTCCCCCTTCTCTCAAGATGAGGATGAGGGATGCTTGAAAATATTTGCAGTTGTACACAACGTTCATTTTTATTTCTTGAAGGATTTTGGCTCTCCAGATTGACTAATGTGATCGACCTGGATTCTGCCAATCTGCATCAGCCAATATAATTCTCAGACCCATATTCCTTTAACCTTGCATAAGTCTACAGTTAATGGTTTGTTTATATTGCTGAAAATGTGGTTTTCTATCGGTTAGCCTTAGCCAGGTGCCTGAGACATTAGATAATATTTCGTGTCTTTATGTTTCAAGCAATGATCAGTTATTTTAGTGTCACTCTCGATTGGCATGGCTCTGATTGATCTTGTATTTCAATTAGTCAACTCACAGGGAAATCCGTGAATATGATGCATGAGTGATTTGATGTCATGCTAATTATCTTAAAACCAAATGTACTGCAGGAAGCTGACTCAGAGGGGGGAGCCCCACTTTTGTGTTCCATGTTATGACCTTGGACGTGGAAATTGTCAGGGGATTGTGAACATCCTCCTGTGAAAAATTATTCATGATGGATGATGACGCTGCTTAATTTCATATGCGAGAGGGGGATTTCATAACCAAGATGTGTGGAGGACTATGCATCATGAAAATTGAGGTACTTTGCTTGTCGAAACTTATTGGAGCAAGAATGCGTATATTTTTTTCCTCTACATAATAGAAGAATGGTTCGCCCTGAGCAACATTCACTTGAGATTCTGGAAATTAAAGCATAGAAACTATAGCCTATTCGCATGTCGGAATGAATATCCAATGAATACGGATTATTCCTTGTGCACTCTACTCTGTACTACATTCATAGCTCTGGGGCCTAAGGATTTTGCGTAAAATCTGCCACTTATGCCAGTTTGAACTATTGATTATTGAGATGGCTTATTTTTTGTTTTAGCCGCCAGGCCCGTTTGAATCATCTTCTGGTAGAGGAAAAGGATGATTAGGGCTTTCCTCTATTACCTGGTCTGCTATGTGGAATCTCAAACGGATAACAATCCCAAGTATCCTCCTTGTTCTTGTTGTTATTGTTCTTGGTTGAAAGAGGATTGAGGCAAATTTGGAGATTTGAGACAACATTTTTGGGGCGAATTTGTTCCCATCTGGCAAATGTGAGCTCAGTAATCCATTCATATGATCATCTCAGATTCCCGGTAGAAGCATGGGAAGGCACCATTTCAGATCAGTTGACTGTCATTTTAGGCAATCCTTTTTCAGTTCACGCTTTACATATGCCGAGACATCATGTCTGTCATCTTATCTATCGAATGCTGCATGCCCATCTGACATAGAGCAGGCTGACGAAATTGTGATGCAGGGCCAAGGGTTGGACACACACTTGGCGGCGTCCTACCGTCGTCCCACGTTGCCGAGGACTATGGAGGAAGCATTGCCTGATCCGGAAAGGTGGCCTCGTTCCCCGTCTACGAGTCAACATTTTGCTGCCAGGAATGAAATTTGTACTCGAAATTTCATCTTCCTTGTGCTGTTTCTGCAAAAAAAAAAACCTTGTTTGGGTATCCCGAGCCGATGCTCTATAAAATGTAATCAGTCTTCTGTGATTATGCCATTCATGATTCATTTGCAGCGTCGCAGGACTCAGACCGCCCCTTCCGAAATCCCCTGCAGAAAATCCCATCTGGCCCAAGATGATCCGCCCATCTTCCTCGCCTAAGACGCTGCTGCGCATTGCCTCTCGACTTACCTGACATCTTCACTGAGCCTTTTTGCCTTGCAGCCGACCGTGAAGGAACTGTGTGGCTCCTCTCCGGTGCAGGCTCGTGGAGCTCGAGGACGCCTCTCCCTCCCTTCCTCGGTCCCTGTGCTCCAGTCTGTCGGCCATGTTTCCGCTGTGACCGTTGTGTGTCCCATGTTTCCGATGTGGGTGGTGTTCACCTTCTTGTCCCCCAGTGTCAGGGGTGGCTGATAGCGAGGCCATGCAGAAGACTGAGAACTTCGGGCTGAACTTTGATGGCCGAAGGAAGCCTTGGTCTTTTATTAGCCGGTCGGGGGGGTTCTTGCGGAGGGAAGGGGGAGGGAGAGGGATGAGAGAATGCTCCCGACGCGATTCGTGCGGCCTGCGGGCGGCGCCGCCGAGAGCGCCAACCTGTACGTGGCGAACTGCGGCCCCGCCGTGGGGTTGTCCCTTTCGGACGTCGCCGCCGCGTTCGGGGCCTTCGGGGAGGTGGCCGGCGTCCACCTGGCGGACGGCTCGGGGGCCCGCGTCGTCGTCTGCTTCGCCGACGCCTGCTCTGCGAGAGCGGCCGTGGCGGCATGGGGCGGCGGCGCCCCCTGCGGTGCCCTCCGCGGGCGCACCCTTCACATCCGCTACTCCCTTCCCCAGCCACCGCCGTCCGCGGCCTCCGACGCTGCGCCCGTGGCGCTCGACGCGGAGGAGCTGGGGGTCCCCGGGGTCTACCTGGTGAAGGATTTTGTCACTGCGGAGGAAGAGAAGGTCGGAAAAGAGTGCACGCTGTTTCCTTTTACTCTTCCACCGTATTTTGTCACCGTATTCCCTCCTCTCTCTATGCCCTGACTCTCTCTCTCTCTCTCTCTCTCAGGAGCTCCTTGCAGCAGTTGACGCCAGGCCCTGGAGGCGCCTTGCGAAGAGGAGGGTGCAGCACTACGGGCACGCATTCCTCTATGAAGTAAGCTCACAGTCTTCCTAGTTTCATGCCCGTATGCGCTGGCCCATGGTAGAAACGTTGCTGGATTGCCTTTTCTGGTGCTTCTTCTCTGTCTGCACACTTCTCTAAGGCCAATTCTTACATTAGACTAGAAAATCTCGAATGGGCAGTGACTGAAGAATCGGTGTCTTAACTAATCAGGGGAATTCGTCCTTGACGATGTGTAGTTTGGATTCTTGTTCTGTTGGAATCTCAAGTTGGGAACATTCAATCCCGGAAGCGCTGAGTGATGCGGGGCAGGGGAAGCATTTCTGAACAGAACTGGGAGAACCAGCTGCATATGCTCTGGGGATGAAGATGACAAACCAGTGCTTCAGAAACATGTTACCAGAGGCTAAGATGTTTTCTTTTTAGCGTGTTTTCCTCGCAATGATAGGTCGTAGGAGGAAGACGCGCATTTCTTTTTCTTCATTCAATTTGCCTTTTGCCTTTTGATCTCACCAACAGAGTGGCTGCAGTAGTTGGCGCCATTCAACATGGGGTAGTTGGTTGCGCATCCATTCTTTAACGTTTTGTGCTGGACAGAGATAATGCACAGTGGGCAGAATCTTGAGATGCTGGGTGGCCGGCCTCTCTGGTTGGGGTTGAAGGAAAACCTTGAGATGGGCAGTGGTCGCCACAGTTCTTTTCTCTGACTTGAAATCAGCATAATTGTTCTTCAAGATGGGAGATAGTGGTCAAGCTTCACTCGATCAGGTTTGACATTCCTCTTTATCAATGAAGATTAGGGAGTTAGCTTGGGTAGTGACATTCCTCTTTACGCCTTGTTGCTATCTGGGTTACCCCCCAAATCCCCCTTGCTAGTGACCAGTTTGCGTCTAAACATCCCCGCTGCCCCAGCTCAACCCGTGATCAGCGGATTCTGCGGTGTAAAAGGAATAGTGACGATGATGATGATGATGATGAAAGGGTCTTCAACCCATGTGAAACGTATTTTTTGAGAAGTAAAAAAAAAATAATCTTGCTTCTCACACGTATGAGCCCTCAGAGCTAGTGATAAAGCCTTTTCCCCTTAAGATGCGATCCGTCCTAAGAAAAATCCCTAATTTATATCCCGATAGCTCGAGTGGATCCACTGGTTTTGAAAACCAGAAGAAAGGGCTAGGAAATCCGTGTGTAAGCGGTCTCCAAAGCCTGTGATTCTTGGGGAAGGATGGTGAGGAAATGCTAGGTTCTTTACTTTTTCGTTAGATTATGGATTGTTTTCTTCTTCCTTGTTGGTCGAATGGCTTTCTTCCAAACATCCTCACGACGGATTCTCCTATTTTCGTGATGATACTATGCATTTAAAGTTGGTATCATCTAGATCATGCTCTTGAATATTTACCGCGATACTTCTTCTCAGCACAAGTGTTCTTTCTGACAGACAAGGAATGTCGATACGAAGCAGTTCCTGGGTGAGCTTCCATCCTTCTTATCTAATGTGCTCGAGAAAATCGCGTCGTTTCCTGGACTTGATGATGAAAGACAGGCCATTGATCAGCTGACGGTGAGATATGCATGCTTATATATCCCTTTTTATGAGACGCCATGAATCTGGCAAAAAGTTGTTCAAGTCGTTGAACAAACTCGAATGCTTTCAGGTCAATGAATACTCCCCCGGAGTGGGCTTGTCTCCTCATATAGACACTCATTCAGCTTTTGATGGGCCTATATTTAGCCTGTCATTAGCGGGTTCTTGCATCATGGAATTTAGGAAATATTCTCAGGGTTCACGGCAGCCTCAGCCTGTTGCAATTACTGATACGGAAGAGGAAAACCAAAGCGAAAACCCTGCTCATTCCTCAGGTTCCATAAGGAAGGCTATATTTCTTCCTCCCAGGTCAATGCTAGTGATGTCTGGTGAAGGACGCTACGCATGGCATCATTACATCCCACATCATAAGGTATTGCTTTTCACTATGTCGTGCCATTTTTTTTGCCCCAAGAAGCTATGAATTGATTTTATTCAATGATTATTAATCAGGAGGTAAGTTTCATTAGATGACAAAGTAATGTCTCAGTTGCTTTACCATGCTGTAGTTTGCCTGCGTTTCTCATCAGCAAGATCGGTTCTTTAATATTATCTTAATCTTTAGTCCTTGGGGTGAAAGAGGCTGCATCAGTTTCTATTGATTTTAAAAATCCGGGACAAGAACCTAATCCTGCCTCTGGGTTGCTGAGCTGCTCCCTCCGTGGGAACCCACGGGCTCGGCCGCGTGGACCGGCCATCATGCGTCTAACCCACACAACCCCCCGTAGACTACCTACCTCCCTGACTTGGGCCAGCTGTAGCTCTGTATGAGGGGCGCCTCTTGATGGGCTGATGCTGTCATGTTGACATTGTCAGGTTGACATTGTCAGAGGAAATGCGGTCAGAAGAGGTCGAAGGAGGGTTTCTTTCACCTTTCGGAAGGTTAGTGCTTGCTTAACCAATCTCTGAAATTTCTTGCATGCAAGTTCGTGATGTTTTTCCGGATGTTCAGCTGACTGCAGTTTGTTATGTTGACTGATTGAGATTTGTCTGGATCACAGACCGAATGGGTCTGTGCAGCAGCTGATGTGGAGCTCTCTCCGTCTTCTTTTCCTTTTTTGTCAACTTGTTGTGGGTAATGGTGAATCCGAGATATTATTAGGTGGGGCCAGCCGGAATCAGCTGATTCCAGCTGATTTTTTAATTTTATATCCCCACCAACAAAAAAAAAAAGAAAAAGAAAAAAAAACAGGGTCAACAGGTTTACTCAGTTGACCCTGTTTTGAGACCCTCTTGGGACATCCCAGCACGGGGAATTCAGTGATAACTGATTAACCACCACGCACGAGATAAAGAGAAGAGATTTGCTCCTAGTGTGCCTTCGTCTCATTTCCCACCCAATCTGTGCGCCATTGACCATATCGTGTTTGTGCTGGAAATCTCCGTTTCGGGTTTGACTTTCTGTTCATCGTCATGACATAAGACGTGCCGGGCTTGCTGTGATTAGTGTCATCTGTTCAACCATCTGATTGACTTTTTTGATCGCTGCAGGTCAGATCTGGGCCTTGTCGCTGTGAACACTCGCAGTTCTGTGATTCTCAAAGGGATAGTGCTCGCTCATCTGGTGGAATAGAAGAAGATATCCGCTCCCATGGCATGGCATCTTGATGTCGCCCACAGTTCACAGGGGAAGAAGCGTGCCTCTTATTCTCTCGGAGAATTCCCTCGCTTGGAGCTTGGGAGTCTCCGCTGTGGCCGTTGACTACGAATGATCTCGCCGCAACCGGGGTGAATGCACGGCCTGGCCTGGGTTCATTCATCCGTCTCGGCCATATCGTCCAAGAAGACTGGAACCACATCCTGATAACCCTCTGACTTTGTGTTGTAACTCAGCTCGCGAAGCATCCCCTTGATCTGGTCGCGCTCCGGGTGCCACCCGTCCCTGGACATGAACCTATGGGAGGCGTCCCCGACCTTAATGGAACTGAATCCGGGCTCCTTCCTCAGCCCCTTGCTCCTCATCCGCCGCCTTATCCCGTTGACCTTCTCCCAGCTGCCCTCCGCCGCGTAGACGTTGGAGAGCAGAACGTGGTAGCCGGAGACCCCGGCGGCGGCGGCGCCACCAGCCCTCCTCTCGATCTCGAACAGCCGCTCCGCCACCCGCTTCCCCAGCTCGAGCTCCCCGTGCAGCCGGCAGGCCGCCAGAAGCGACCCCCAGATGCCCACGAAGCCGCCGTCCTCTCCGAGCTCCCTCGCGAAGTCGTACGCCTCCTTGATCCTCCCGGCCCTGCCCAACATGTCGACCACGCAGCAGTGGTGCTCGACGGAAGCAGGGATCTGAAACTCCTCCTCCATCAGGTGGAAGAGCTCGAGGCCTTCCTCGACCATGCCGGAGTGGCCGCAGGCCGTCATGGCGGCGACGAACGTGACGGCATCCGGCGCCATCCCCCGCCACTGCATCTCCCAGAAGAGGGAGAGGGCTCTGCAGCCCAGCCCGTGCGCGCCCAGCCCCGATATCATCGTCGTGTAAGTGACCGAGTTCTTCTCCCGCATTCCGTCGAACACCTTCTCGGCGCCGTCGACGCAGCCGCACTTGGCGTACATGTCCACGAGGGAGGTGCCCACGAAGACGTTCTCGTCCAAGGCGCGCCGGATCGCGAAGCAGTGGACTTCTCGCCCCGAGCGGAGCCCCCCGGCCGCGCCGCAGGCCGGGATGACCGAGGAGAGGGTGACGGCGCTGGGAGCCAGGTGGTCGTCGTCTTCTTCCTCCAGCAGCATCTTCCTGAACAGGGCGACGGCGGGTTCGGCCTGCGCCGCTTGCGCGTAGCCGGCGATCATGGCGTTCCAGGTGACCAGGTCCTGCTCCCGCCGTTCTCCAGCCATGTCGAACAGGCGCCTGGCAATCTCCACGGCTCCCGACTTGGCGTACACGTCGATCAGATAGCTGTCCATCCCTGCTCCGCCGCCGATCCCGTGCCGGATGAGGTAGCCGTGCGCCTCCCTCCCCGTTCTGATGTCGCCCAAGTTCGAGGCGGCGGAGAGCGCCGCCGTGAGGGTCACGGCGTCGGCTCTCAGCCCATCTCTCTGCATCTCGCGGACGAGCAGGATCCCCTCGGTCTCGAGGCCGTTCTGCACGAGGGCGGACGCCATGGTGTTCCAGGAGACGACGTCCTTCTCGGGCATCTGGTGGAAGAGATCGAGGGCCGTCTGCACGGAGCCGCACCTCGAGTACATGACCATGAGGGCGTTCGAGAGGATCACCGGCGGCGGGGCCGTCGAGTTCTTGAGGATGAGCCCGTGGAGCTGCTCCCCGAGGCGGATCACCTGTAGCATCGAGGCGGCCATGAGGGCGGCGATGAGGGTCACCGTGTCGGCGAGGACGGCGTCCTGTGCCAAGATCTGGACGAAGAGGTCGAGGGCGTCTTCGGGGAGGTCGTTCTGGACGTACCCTCCGATCATGGCGTTCCACACCTCCGTGTTCCTGGTCGCAGAGCGATCGAAGGCTCGCCTCGCGGCGGAGACATCCGAGAGCTCGGAGAACATGCAGATCGCAGAGCTCGTGACGATGGCGTCGTCGACGTATTCGTCGCCGTGCCTGAGGAGCATGCCGTAGAGGACCATGGAGTTCCGCCAGTCCTCCATAGCGGCCACTGCGGGGAAGACGTTGACGAAGCTGACGGCCGACGGCCTGGTTCCGCCATCGACCATCTTCTTGAACATCTTCAGTGAGTCCAGCGGCCTCCGGGCCTTGAGAGCCCACCCAAGCATCGTGTTCCACGAGACGACGTTCCTCTTGGGCATCCGGTCGAACAGCAGCCGGACGGCGGCGGCGGCGCGGGGGCTCTCCGGCGAGCAGGCGGCGTACATGCCAAGGAGCGAGTTGTTGAGGACCCTGTTCCTGAGTAGCCCCGGCCGGGGCAGGCGCAGGAGGCGGCCGTGCAGGGACTCGCCGGCCCTCAGGCGGCGCTCGTCGGCGCAGGCCTTGAGCGTGGAGGAGAAGGTGTAGGCGTCAGGGGCGGCGTCCATGAGGGCGTAGAGGCGGAGCGCCTCCATGGGGAGGGAGTTGCAGACGTAGCCGATGAGGAGGGTGTTCCAGACGACGGTGGGGACGGGCCGCGGGAGGGTGTCGAAGAGGCGGCGGGCGAGCTCCAGCCGCCCCTCTTTGCAGAGCTGCCCCAGCTGCGCCCTCACCGAGAGCTTGCGCTTCGGAGTCCCATCTGGCGGGCCGCCGGAGAAGGCGAGGCTGCTTCCCGAGGCGGCGGCGGCCACAGAGGGCGGCGGGGGGAGATGAAAGGACGCCGACATGGTCGGAGATGGGGGGGGGGGGGTCTCTACCTCCTCCTCCCGCTTTCCGCCGCCGGCACCGCCGCTGCCGTTGCCGCTGCCGCGCCCTCTCTCGGCTCATCCATTCTCCTTATCATCCAGACACTGTCTGCCTACGTGTGGGGCGGAGGCGCGGTTTCGTCCGGACAACCCCCCCCTCTATCAAGGTAATCCTCCAGACCGTAAAAGGTCAACTGTCCCGCCATCATCCGCCTGGCATCTCCAAAACTGGGGCTTCTGGTGATACGGGATTTTTTTTTTTTTCTTTTTGTAGATCCCGAGTGTGGTCAACGCAGCTTCCTCAATTGGGGCATCTGTAGCTCCTCTTCTTCTTCCAGGCTACGAAGAAGCCGAAGCTGCACACACCTTGCTCTGGTTATCTATTTCAGCGCTGCCATCGCCATCCCCAAGAACAAGGAAGACTCTTCCAGCCGGGTCGGCGGGACTCGATCGGTCCAACGCAACTACGACGGATCAAATAGAGATTATATTTATCGACCCATCTTTGACTTTCAGGCAAAAATCCCCTCTTTGTCACACAAAAATCCTTGACCTTTTTGGGAGGAGCAGCTGAGAAGAAGCGCACCTCGGAACAGAGGCCACGGGAGCTCCACCCTCTCACAGATTTTCACCGGGTTTATTGCCTCCACGAAGAGCTTCTACTCAGAAGTATGCATCTATCGCTATGCATCTGCACTTTACACACCCCGTCGGCGGAGCTCCGGCCGAGGAAGACGCGCCTCACTGCTGCGCCAGCATCGTCTCCAACCCCCTTCTCCTCGCCTCCTGCTTCAGCTTCTCCAGGGCGAGCAGCCCGACCTGCCGCACCCGCTCTCTGGATAGCCCGAACCTGCAGAGAGGAAAGCGCCGCCATGGCGGCCGACCCAGACCCAACTGGTGGATCAGACGAACTCGGTGGGAGTAACTAATGGGGACACGGGTGAAAGAATAGGAGTGTTTAGGGTTTAAGGCGGCGCTCACTGTCTGCTGATGTCCTCCCACGTCTGGGAGTCTTTCTCCAGGCCGTAGTACAGGCGCACGATGTCCCTCTCCCGCTGGCTGAGGGTCGCGCAAAGAAGCTTGTTGACTTCTTCCTGGCACCCAATCCTCAGATGATGAGACAGAGGTCAACGCACCAAAATAAGCATCGTCTTCGGGAACGGTTACATATGACACAAAGTCAAGCCTCTTTCTCGATGCTCCACCGCTCACCTTGAGAGACCACTCCTGAACTCCGCTCCAGGGGTTGTTCTCAGCGTGATCGTCCGCAACATACTGAAAAAAAAACAAAAAGAAAAGATTTTTACTCCAGGATCAGCGCATTTTCGAAGACCCACGCTCGTTTTCTTCTCCGAGAAGATCAAACCCCTTCGCCGTACACTGTGAAGAGTGTCGCCCGATAGGCCATCCTGAGAGGGGAACGCTTCCCTGTCGAGGGAGAGCACCTTGCTGACCGCCTGCGTCGATGCAAATCAGGGCCCGATGGAGAGGGAAAAAAAAGAAGAAAAAACACCGTGGCGCGGATCAGACAGGATCGGTCTCTGCTCACCTCCACGGCGTTCCTGACTTTCTTCGTGGACATCTTCATGGACTCCGCGATTTTCTGCACGCAAGGAGCGCCCGTGAGACGACGGCCGGACGGTAGAATCAGCCGGAGGAGGCCGGCTAGCATTCAGAGGAGCTTGAAGCCCGGCGTCAATGCCGATAAGTTATCCATTGGCTTACATCGATCGATGGCGCGATTCCTCTCTCCTGCAGCCGGGTCTTCGCGCTCCGGATAGAGAACAGCCTTCCGTGCAGGTGCGAAGGCAATCTCAGGATCCTCGAGTTCTCCACCAGCGCCCTCGAAACTCCCTGCGAGTAGACAGAATCGCATCAGATAAACCGCGGAAAGCAGCAGGATCAAGAACATCGCTGTAGTTTTTGCATGGGATCGAGGATTTGAATCGCACAGAAGACCCGGCGACCGGAGAACGTCTAAGCGGCAGCATCACGCGACGGAAAATGGCAATCCAGAAGACGGCGCATGAGATAAAAAATACGGCGGTCAACCCAGTGAACTCACCTGGCGGATCCACCAATACACGTAGGTTGAGATCCTGCAGCCCTTGGACGAGTCGAATTTCTCTATCCCACGTAACAAGCCGATCAGGCCACCCTGTGGATTTGACTAGGAGTCAGCTTCCCGCAAAACCAGAGTGATCTACAGAAGCTTACCGGCGCCATCAGAGATCCAAGATTTAAACAGCTTATAGGGGGAAGCTATCGGAGAGCTGGGTGGCGTCACCTGAACGAGGTCGTCCAACTCGGCGCCCATGCTGTCGTATTTCTGGGCGATCGACAGGACGAGGCGGACGTTGCTCATCGCGAGCCTCTCTCTCGCCAAACTGGATTCGATCATCCTCGAGTGCAACTCCGAACTTGACATCCTCAGCGAAGATGCCAGCTGCTTGTCTGTCGGCTCACATCCCAGTCTCTGTTCCAGCCTGGGGCAGCATGCAGCAGAGGCAAGAATGAAAGGGTGACCAAGATCTAGCATGGAGGCGTTCTTGGAGGCTAGGGTTTTCTTTTTCAATGATGATATTAATATTATCATTATTCTCTGCTACGTTCACATTTTCCTCGCTCTTTCTAGTGTAAAACCTTCCATTTTTTTCGGAAATTTCTGCATAATCTGGGGAGGGTGTTCCTTAGTAACGACAAACAAGGCTGAACTGGGTAGGATTTGAGTAAAAAAATGAATCATTTGACCAGATGGAAAGCATAGAACACAGAATTTTCCTAGGATAACATCGGATACTCACTTGGACTTGTGCTCCTCCAGGAAAATGCCGGCTTTGATCTTCTCTGAAAGGCTCACCACTTCGGCATGAGTGAGCAGGCCGTCGCTTATGGCGCCTCTGATGTACCCCCTCGGCCGATTCTGCAGCAGCTCGGGGCTCACTGCAGCCGCAGGCTGCTTCCTCTTTCTCAGGGCTCCGACTACGACTCCCTGGTTCGAGCCTCTCTTTCTCGTGCTCGTCCTCCTCTGTCGGGCGGATACGCCCGAGCGGACGACTCCGGGCTGCTTGCGGGCCGTCTCAAGGGAGAAGGGCTGGTCCAGGGAAAGGTTCCACTGCTTCTCCAGCAAGGACTTCTGCAGCAGAAGGAGGGCCTCCAGGGGAAGCTCCGCATTTCGATCGTCCTCCTTGTGGGACACGCTGGATTGCTGGGATAGCGCAGAGAAGGCGCCGACGTACTCCTCCAGCGCCTTGATGGCCCGCGTCTGCATTTGGCAGTGGGCGGTGCTCTGGCCGAGCTCTGGAGTCTTCTTCGCCACGATGAAGTTCCTCGCGAAGGCAGCGGCTGAGAATTGCCCCGACCCATGATCCGGAGAGAAGAATTTCTCGGAGAGGTCCGACGGGCAGAAGGGAGTGGTCAGCAACCTCTTCCCCGCGGGCAGCCCGATGACGGCGGCTGTGGCCATCGCAGGACTTTGACCCAGAGATTCGGAGCTTCAGTTCCTCGAGAAGCTACCCGATCCAAGATGGAGGACTCATCTCCGTTCACCGATGCGCTTCCCCTCTGCGAGTCAGCGGCCACGGCGCCCAATGAAAGCAAGAAAAACACGAAGGGTGATTGCAAGTTAGAGCTGGAAGCAAAGCTTGAGAGATCTCAACATTTCGACTGAGCGGGAGAAATCCAAGCGGGTCAGACGGCACCAGCGGCTTCTCGAGCCAGAGGAGGCGAGGCGACAGATGAGAACTCTTCTTCCCCATTCACAGAAATTTATCGCCCCTGAGCACGGGCAGAGAAGAGGGAGCGGAGACAAAGGCTTCTCCGAGCTCCACCCTTCAGCGCATCCCACTAAACTCTAGAAGATCCTTGCCGGAAGGGCAAGTGATCAAATACCTAAAACCCCGTCACCACGCCCTCGTCCACCCTCCCGGATCATCCTCCTCGCCCTCAAAATTAAACACAAACCCACAAAACATTCCAGGGAAGAGAGAGAGATAGAGTAGGCGGGGAGCAAAGCCAGAATTGTCCACCTGCCGGAGGGTAGAGCTCAAAACCCACCTGGGCGGCGGCGAGCGGGTCGCCAATCTTCAGGCGGGCGGGGCGGAGGATGCCGGGAGATGCCTGAGGAGAAAGAGAGGAAGAGGAGAGGAGGGCAACGGTTAACATGCGTGCGTGGGAACCTAACCATACGTTTTCTTTTCGCTGCATCATTATCAGAGCTCGTTTTGGATGGACATGGAGAGGCTACCTCCTCTCCTCCGCCCCCCCCATCTTCTTCCCCTCTTCTTCCCCATCTGGAAGGAAAGGTGGGGATGAGGAGGGCGGCGACGATGGCGAACACGTGGCACGTTCTCCTGCGTTGGACTATTGGGCTCAGCGACAGTTCCACCCCACGAAGTGGGAGGCACGCCAGCCGACGGCGAGAGGCCACGTCGCTGAGAAACCCCCCCGGCGGAGTTAATCAACGGCTCTACTAGAAAATTCGGCGCCGTAAAAATAATTGCAAGAAATAAATTCGTGTCGCACATTTTGTGGATTTATTTATTTATTTATTTGGGCTGTCGCGGATGTGGCAATCAGTGAGATTTATTTCTTTACGAATATTTTATTAATACAAACAGCATTATTCTGTAGTTTCTCTGCGAAAAAAAAGGGAACTTGCTGCTCTTTCTATTTATCTCTGATGGAGAACAGATGGGTCTCCGGTAAATGCATGCTGAATGCTGGAGCTGGCGCGGGAGCTTCGTCGGTCAACTGAAGGGGTCAGCGGCTCTTGGGGGTCAACTCTCGAGCCCATGAGAAATAGAATGACTGCGCGGGGGAGCACATGAGCAGATGCCTTAGCTTGTGGTGCAGATTTTCCCCGGGAAGAAACTCCTCTGGAACGTATCTGATGTTGCGGCACGATGAATCGCAGGGGTACGGGCAGTCGACGTTCTTGAAGGGGCGCCGATCATAAAACCACTCCGCGACGGCGCCGGCGATCGTCTGCGAAGAACAGCGCATCAAGATCACACCTTCGAAGTCAACGCACACCCCTTCGGATAAGGCGGCAGTGGTCTCGCTTCAATGCCACCAGCCTCAAAAACCCACCAGATCTGATTCCTTCCCCCCGTAAAAATCGGATAGAAACGAAGGAAAAAAAGAAGAGAGTAAAGAAACAGGTCTAACGCCACTGTGTTCGAGGAGCGAGCTCACCGTGTTCCCCAGGACCGGAGACCCATCGAAGTGCCATATCTCCGCCATCTCCGTCTGGCAGTGAGCGAAACATGAATTCACGAACATGCCGGCGGCCGGGCTCGCCCCGAGGCCCCTCAGCGCGCCTAGGAACTGCATCCTGAATGCTGCCCACGAAGAGCCACGAACACGGAAATCAATGGGAACCGCCTGGTTTGTTTCCGAGCTTTTAGTCAAGCAAAGGTAAGCACGAAAAGAAGGGCGGGAGGGAGGGACCTTGGAGGGCTTCCAACTGGCTGGTGTCGCACAGGCTCATGTCCGACGCGCACTCCTTCCAAGCTCCCGCAGGGTCAGAGCCCGGTGAGAGCAGCGCGTTCCTGATCTAAAAGTCAAAAAGGATTTCAGCCGGGTAGATGAGAGATCTGAAGAAGTAGATATTGTACTCGTTCGATGCCTGGTAGTAACAATAATAATAGTAGTACCAACCCAGAATGCATGGGAGAGAAAATCTCGGAACATGTTGATGATGATGCTCTAATGGTAGCAGACGTAGCCACCATATCCAGGGAGGTCATGGAGGGAGGAGGATGGATGCCCACCTGCCAGGAATCATAGGCGGCGTTGAGGACGAAGAGCGGCGTGCGGATCTGCTTCACCACGTACTGCGGGAAGAAACACTGCATCGATCGCCACCACGTCAGCGCGCTCCGATCGGATCAAGAATAATCACTGAAGAGAGGCACTGCACTGCACTGCACTCACCATGCCGGGGCTCATCTTGGAGGTGCACGACGAGGGGAGGCTCTTCGCGGCGCCCTGCTTGGAGCCATGGGGGAGGCTCAGATACCCACCTTCCTAACAAGCACGGGGAAGAAGTTGCAGGCAGAGATCGTCGAGGAACGGAGGTGGAACGTACGTGGGTCGCGACGATCTCGCTGAAGTAGCTCTTCATATACTCTGCTCCGGTGACGTCCCTTCTGCCATGGCCGATCGATGCCCAGGAGTCAGAACTCGGAAATATACTAACATCCCTCTCTCTCTCGTGTACCTACACGTTGACGAAGAAGCCGCCATCCGAGAGGCACTTCACGCGGGCGGCGGCGGCCAGCAGGGCGCGGAATCGGTCGCAGTGCAGAATCGCCGCCAGCCCTCCGGCAGAGCAGCCGGAGAGAAGTGCCTGCAAGAATCCCCGGCCACGTTATCACCACCGCTGGTTTCGTTCGATCTATGGACATTTAGGGCACGTACGCTTTCGGCGTATCTCATTCCCTGTCGGAGCAGATCTTCCATCACCGCGTCGAAGATCCGGGCTCCTCTGAAGTGAAGGTTGGTGGCCTGGTCAGATCCTCACCCGAGTCAGCCATCTATCGATATGCATGAGAGGAATAGGGCGGAGCATCGGCCGTTGATGACTAAAAGGATTACTGGAACGAGAAGATTACTCACGGGATCTACTCTATCGACATCTCCAGTCAGGGACGAGCCGTCGCAGTAAGCGACCTTGACCCTGTTCCAGTTGTAGAACTCTGCAGATTCAGACGATTTCGAAGATGCGGCACACTTAGAAGAAGTTCATCCTCGAATGAGAAGAGGAGATTGAGACGACTGGTTAATTCAGAAGGAAAGCTCTGTGTTCCTCCATGGATTAAGGCTGATGCAGGGTTCATGCTGGAGAGAGAATTTGGCTGATGATCGGAGTTGCAAGTATGGCGGCGAGGAGCCCCACCTGGGTTCAGGTCTCTGCGGTCGCTCAGGATGCCGGAGAAGACGATGCTCCCCATGGCCCTGGACGAACCGAGTCTCCCCACTTTGCGAGCGAAGCAGTTGGTGATGTTGTGGCACCATCCTCCCCCCTGAAATAACCAGCAGCCATTCAGACACATACAGAGAGAGAGAGAGAGAGAGAGAGATGATCCCATAACCCATGAACTGGGACTCTCATTGGGCGATCGCTGCCCAGAGTGTTGGAGACAAGGACAATTCGCACAGGCATATGATCATACATTTCCGAGGCATCGTCGAGGGGTTCAGACCTCAATGTGGACCAGCCAACTGTTCATCCCCGGGCCGAACCCCGGCGCGAGATGATACGCAGGCGGGCTCCCATCCAGGCACACTGCAGAGGACAGAGCATTTCACCGGCGAGTTCAGATCAGCAGCTAAGAGACCATTGCGAAACGGCAGAGAACATCGCCGATTTCCTATCAGAAAGGATGAATCTTCATGGTAGGAACATGGACTTGCCTGCCCCTCTGCGGGCGGCGGCTTCCAGGACGGTGAGATTCACGAGGAACCCTTGCCCCGTCGACGAGAGCAGCCCGAGCATGAAGACGACGGTCCATGAGAAATGCGCCTTCAAGCTCTCCATTCTGCAGCCGCTCCCTCAGAGCTCAGGAGCCATGAATCCTAAGAGACAGAAACGTCGAGCGAGAGATAGGAGGAAGCGATGTTCTCCCTACCTGCGGTCGCCTCCTCCTCTCGCTCTCCTCTTCTCAAGGACGGAAGAGAGGGAGCCAACCCCCGGAGCTCCGCCCGTTGCCCATCGACGTCTTTCTCAGTGCGCTGCCGACAGTCTCCTCTGGATCTACCTGCCGCGCCTGGCGCTTCCGCGTCTTCTTAAATGGTGGTGTATGCTCTCCTCCCTCATCGATTTCCTCTACGCGACCTCTGTGTCTTCTTCCTCGGGCTCTCATTTCACCCCTGCTTAACTCCGCTGTCAACCTCGTAGGATTTGTAACTACGCCGCCGATCACCATTTCCGGCGAGCTGTTTCAGACCCGAGGCAGAATTTCTCCAGATCCTCCCGTGATTGGGACCCCGGGGCGGCAATAATGCTCCGCCTCCACCGCGCCTTCAGAATCATGACAGACGCGGTTGCAGAGGTCAGAGGCAGACCACGGGATCTGTCGCGCGCAGAGTAATTAATCCCATCCGGCGTAGGCCGGGGACGCCCGCCATGGAGAAGGAACAGAGACCCCTTGGCCCCGGCGCCCTAAATCAGCCACAGGGGAGCGAGAGGAGCTCGTCACCGTTCCCATGTCGGAGAGGAGCTTAATCTAGGAGGGAGGGTTCTATAAAAGAACTCAGCAGCGTTTATTCATGAACGACAATCCGTCCCGGTAACAGTAGCCGCAGTAATGCAGGAGGGTGGCGATGATCGTCGATCATTCTTCGCTTGCCGCCGGCGACACAAATCACCGCCATAAGAGGACTGGGGGGGCGGGGGGGTGGATTTTCATTCAAAGATGCGATTGTGGCATGTCTTGTCGCAGGGATAAGGGCAGTCGATCTTCTGAAACCCCTGCCGGTCATGGAACCAGTCCCCTACCGCCTTTGCAATCGTCTGCAGACGAGGAAACGAAAAATGGATCATGATCTCGAGGAAACGATTCCCCCTCTACCGATCTATCTCATCTATCAAGGTAGAGATCACGGATCAGACCGTATCGTCGAGCTTGGGAGAGTCCCCCCTCAGCCACGTCTCTTGCATCCCCGACTGGCAATGGGCGTAGCAGGAGTTGATGAAGAAGCCCCTCGACGGAGAGTTTCCCACCGCCGCCAGCGCCTTCAGGAATCCCTCCCTGTAACCTGTCCACGCTCAAGACAGCCTCCGTCAACGCCCGACTTACTCTCTTCTCCGTCGGCGGTAAGATTAACGAAGAACAGCGACCGCTCCACTGACCATGCATCGTCTGGATTTGGGCGGGGGAGCATTTCTTTATGTCGAGCTTGCAGTCGCGCCAGGTCCCGTGGGGATCCGCTGCTCCCGGTGCCAGGATGTTCTTGATCTGAAAACCCGCAGATTAATCCCTCCCCGGAGATCAAAAATTCTCCCGCAGATTCACTCCAAAGTTCAGGCCATCGGCTGATCCGGCGAAGAACAAGAACCCTAAACGGCGGTCGGGCTTACCTGCCAGGAATCATAGGCGGCGTTCAGGATGAAGAGAGGGGTCCGGATTCCTTGAACCACGTTCTGCGGGAAGAAGCACTGCGTGCGGGCCGGGGCCACGTTAGTTCGATCCATGAAGGCGAGAAGCACCGCATACTGGTGGAGGTGGCGGCGGTTTGACGGCATTGCTTACCAGGCCCGGGCTCAGCCGCGAGGTGCACGACGACGGCAGGTTCTTCGCAGAGCCCTGGCGAACCAGAGGTAGAGGGAGAGGACATGAGAGGGCCTGAGTGAGATATCAGGAAAGCGAGAGGCGGAAGGAAGCAATCATACGTGCGTCGCCACGACGTCGCTGTAGAAAGCTTGAATGCGCTCAGCGCCGGTGATGTCCTTCCTGCAGCGCCGGCCGGCAGCGTCGTCAGCCCGGAAAAACTCGGGGGAAGAACCCCGGTCAGTCGGATCGAGCTCGAGCACTCACGCATTGACGAAGAACCCTGCGTCGGCGAGGCACTTGACCTTGGCGGCCGCCGGAAGGAGCGCACGGAATCTGTCGCACTGCAGGATGGCGGTCAACCCCCCCGCCGAACAGCCGGAGAGGAGGGCCTGCAAGATTCAAGGGGACGATCACTCGTGAGGAAGCAGGAAGTCCGCGGAAGGAGCAAGAGCCTCCAACGCAAAACCCTCTTCGACCACCTGGTCTGCGCCGCTCATCCCCTTGGCGAGCAGCTCCTCTATGACGGCGAGGAAGATCCTCCCTCCTCTGAAGTGGAGATTGGTAGCCTGCGCCGTCACCGGAATCGGGGCAAGGTCAGGGCTTCTCTGAGGTCAGCGGTATATGACTGGATAAAACAACAACAACAACAACTACTACTACTACTACTGCTACTACTGCTGCTGCTGCAACTCACGGGATCCACGGCCTCCACGTCCCCAGTGAAGGAGGAGCCGTCGCAGTATCGAACTCTGGCTTTGTTCCAGTTGTAAAGGTCTGGGTTCGTAGCCTGCTTGTTGCCGAAGATCCCAGAGAACGCGAGCTGCTTCACCATCGCCTTGGAGGAACCCAAGCGGGTGTTCTTCCGGTCGAGGCAGGAGGTCACGTTGTTGCACCACGCTCCTCCCTGGAGATCGATCGCAGCGGAGGCCCGCCGGAGCAGATGCATAGGAACAGACAGTTCACGAAGATCTCCCGACGGAATCGTGGAGCCCCGAAAACAAGAAGCAAGTCAAATCGGGAGGGGGAGGCCAATCGTCAAGAAAAGACTGACCTCGAACTGGATGAGCCAACTGTTGGCCCCCGACCCGAAGCCGGGGGAAAAGTGATAGGCCGGCGGGCTCCCGTCCAGGCACACTGCAGGACAGGACATCGTCAGACCGTGAGATCGAGAAAGGTGACGAAGCTCGCGGGGGAGAGGAAGCAATAAGGCATCAGATACGAGCTTCTTTCTGGCCAGATCTTGAAGAACTCGAGGAATGGATACCTGCCCCTTTGGCCACTGCGCTCTCGAGGTAGGTGATGTCGACCATGTAGCCATCGGCCGTCCGCAGAGATATTAGGAGGGCGCAGAGGAGCAGCCATCCGAGCGCCCCGCCGGTCGCCATTCCGCAAGACGAGCTCCGGCTACTCAAGATGGCTGCACCGGAAGAACAACACGGATGAGAGACAGATCGACGGAGGGAAACCCATCCGCGTGAGGATCTCATCATCCAGCAGAGGAGAAGAAGAGGGAAAGAAAAACGGGTTCTTGGTCTCAGCTAGACATTTTGGCGGAGAACGCCACTTAGCAGCTTGCCGGGCAGGGAAGAGGGCCCGTCTCCAGATTATCTTCCCATTTCTATTTCTCGCGAGCAATCCAGAAAGAGATCTAATCTTTCTAGGGCAGGCCGAGAGTCCAGAAACCTCAAGGCACAAGGGAGGAGCCTCGCCTGCACTCGTTTCCGGTGATAATAAGACGAAGAAACATCGAATAGAAATCCAGTTTCTGCAGCGATCTGCGGGATAGAACCCTCCAAAATAAGGAAGAGGGAATGAAAGAGATGCGCAGATGCTGACGGACAAGGCAAACCAGATAGATTGAGGGTAGGGACCATTAACATTACATGAGACGGGGGTGAGCTCGGAGGTGGTGGAATCGCGTGCGCGCTTTCGAAGCTATCCTTGATAGATCTGAAGCCGCAGGAGGGTAAGCAGTGTAGAGAGTAAGCAACTAATCCCTGCAGCCCTCTCTCTCCTCTCTCTCTCCCCCACCCGTGTATCGTCTTTCGCGGTGGTAAAGATAATTAAACAGGCGCAGTCACGGAAGCGCCATTGTCGGAGCCCTGAATCGAACGGGAAAGTAGGTGGGAAAAGGGTAAAAGCCTTCGGGTAAAAGCTTCCAACATTCATCGCTGAACATATGACACGGCGCCGCGAACCCCCACACTCCCGTCTCCTTCCTCTCCGTCTCTCTGCCTGTCTCTCTGTCCCTCTCTGCCTCTCCCTGTGTCTCCGTGTGGATCGGTCCGACCATCAGAAGAAATGGGGGGCGGCGAGGGATACCGCCGTGAAGTTCATCGACTCGACAGGTCGCCCCCAAGGGTTGAATTCACGGTGCAGCGAGCAGGCCTCTACATCTCTCTCTCTCTCCTCGTCACACGTTCTCTCTCCTCCGTCTCTCTTCCCGTGTCTAATCGTCGCTGTTGTACCGCACGAGCCTGATTGATGATCAAATCACTCTGATGCGAAAAGCGGAGGAAAGAGGCCGGGGGTCGATGAGGGTCAGCGGTGGGCTCCACAATCAGTGAATCCACGTGGGGCCACAGAGCGGACCGCCCGGCGAGATCCGTTCTCAGATATTGGCGGAAGAATAAATCACTTACAATGCTCCATGGTAGTCGGTGAAGACACCAGAAGAGAGTCAGCGTGGGTCGCCGACGGCGCTGCGGAAAGGGCCCACTCGAGGGTGGGCCGGGCAACGCTCAGCTTTCGCGCTCAAAAGGGGGCCCAAGCCACGCTCTGCCTCGCGGGTGGGCTCCACCTCGGTTCTGTGCCGTCAAGGTGGCGCCAGATATTGACTGGACCACCCAAACCCGCGGGCTGGGCCGTCTCCACCAGCAGTCTGTGTGACGCCCCTTCAGCCACACACGGCGTAGGGAGAGAGAGAGAGAGAGAGAGCAGGCTGCATGAAGTTTCGACTTCAATGAACCTCCCCTCGCCCCCTCGCTCGCCCTCCCTCTCCTCCCGTATTCCGCAGTGAAGCCATCCATCCATCATCATCGAGTTGCACGTGTGGAATTTCCTCTTGATGGAAGGGGAGTCAGCGCCGGATCTACTTCGCGGCTGCTACCTGTTTCCACCGACGATTGAATGAGCACACGTGGGAGCCCCTGAATTGAGATATTGTAAATGACTCATGGAAATAATGCTCTACAGGTGGGTCTTTGTCTTTTCGTCGCTGAATCCTCGGCGGTCGTCGGCAGGCGCCGCGTTAAGAAGGGAATTAACTGCCTCTCTATGAACAAAAAGCTGTAAACTGCGATTTCCTTCCAGGCCATGGGATGGTTGACGTCTTGAGTCATCCCCCTCTTCAAGATTCGTTGACGAACTCATCCTGTCAGGGTCAGGGGTCATGATTCAATTCAATGGCGAACTCAGTTTTCATTAGGTATACTTGGTCAACTTTACTCTCTCTCTCTCTCTCTCTCTCTCTCTCCATCTCGCTATCTCTCTATCCCTCTATCGATCTAAATAAATATAGCTAAGAATTTGGATACGCTTCTGCAGCTCTATGATTGATTAAGGGGATCTCCGATGGGACGAGGGGATGTTTGCCGGAGATGAACAAATCTGTACGAATCTCGCAACCATCCAAGGGGAAACCAATGAAAGATCGTGCGTTTATACAGTGCCCATATGAGATTTTTACGGCATGAATTTCTATGATTGAAACAACCGACGATTTCTATTATCATTTCGGAAGCAGATTGTATTCGGAAATTCTATGTCGCTTTTGCATTTCCAAATCAAACCTTCACTTGGAGCTAAAAGGGTTCTGTAGTTCTACTGTCTTCCTCATCTGATTTTTATGCAAAACGTATTGATCATCCTTCCATCCCCCCCTCTCTCTCTCTCTCTCTCTCTCTCTCTCTCTCTCTCTCTCTCGCTAGATCCCTGCTGCGTGATGAACAACGAAGCACCACATGTCATGCACGTGCCAAAGAGGAGGTCCATTCATTTATCACGCTGTCGATCTCGATCTCATGGGTATTCGTAAATGTACAACAAAAGTGGACAACACGCACGCCATCGGAGAAGACGACATCCCTTCAAACGGCAAGGACGTGAAACAAAACTACTGACTATGACAAATCTTCCTTCGTCGAAGAGGTAGGAGGGGAACGGAGATGATACGCGTGTCGAGAGAGAGAGAGAGAGAGAGATTCCGGGCCTAAGGCTATCCGACGGAAGCGTAAGGACAAGTTACAGCCATGTGTGCCCCGATTCATCCAGCTCCATATGACGGACTCTACGCTAGAACACCCTTGTTGAAGATCCAAGAGAAGGGCACCATAGAGGCCTGCTTGGCCCTCTCCTGCGCTCTCTCCTCCACCTTCCTTATCCTCGGCCCCAGGCTACATAGGTACTCCTGCGCCGCCCTCCCTTCCCCTGACAGGCCGGTCACATGCTCCACCTTCCACTCCTTCACCAGGAATTCGACGATGTCAGCGTAGTCCTTGGCGGTGTAGACACCGGTGCGCTGCGCGACGGCGGCGTAGTTGTCGAAGAGCTTGGGGTCCTCCCCATCGAACATGAGCTGGGCGGGCATGTTGACTCTTTTCCTCATCATGGCGGCGAAGGCCTGCATGGATGCGTCGGGATCGAGCTCGAAAAGCTTGGCGACGATCCGCGAGTATGCCATCTCGTGTCGCTTCTCGTCGGCAGCGATTGTGCCGCATATCTTCGCCAGGGTGAGGTCACCGTGCTTCTTGGCGTGCCTCGCCGTGTTGCCGTGGGAGATGAAGGTGGCCCTCTCTTGGAAAGACGTGTAGACGAAGCCCATGTATGGGTTGTTGTCCACGGGTAGAACCTACGAGCAAGGAAGATGTCTAAGATCAGCACGGAGGACGGAACTGTGACTACTCTGGTAAGTACCTGGCTTGACTGATAACCTTTTGGGTTCAAATGGTATTAGTTATGGAGTTAGACATTTATATTCGAGAATTCATTTAAAGTGATTCGATGCAGCTTTTCATATAATCGTCTTTCGCCACCGATCCCCCCTTACTACTAAATCCCACGCGTTTTCCATCATGCATGTCTGCATAATCTACAGAGAGAGAGAGAGAGAGTGTGTGTAGCTCACCATGCCTCCGCCGATGAGATACTGTATGGTCTTCTCCACCTGACGCATGTCAACCCTCCCGCAGAGATAGAGGTAGCGATTGAGGAGGTCACCATGGCGGTTCTCCTCCGCCGTCCATGCCCGCGTCCACACCGCCCACGGCACCGGGCTGCACCCTGTCTCATCCCTAACCCCGTCGAAGCTGTTGAGCATCGACTGGTACGTCGGCAGCGCTTCCTCCGTCACCATGTCCCCCACCAGGCACACGTAGAACTCGTCGGGGATCTCCCTCGCCCTCTCCTGCACCTCCCTGACGCCGTCGAAGAATCCCTCTGCGGAGGCCTCCGGCAGGAAGTCCTGCGGCTGCCACGACGTCTCGACGGGCCTCAGGAGCGGCAGGATGTTCTCCTCGACCCAGCTGTCCATGGACACCAATATTTCCAGCTTCTCCGGGGCCATCCGATTGGTCCCCACGTTGCGCCTCAGGAGCTTCGTCTTCTTCTCCACTTCCTTACTGAGGAAAGAAGAAAAAAATAAAGAGAGAAAGCGGATGAAAGGGAACGATTTAAGTGAAAGGATGAAAGAGAGCGGTGCACCCACTTGAGCTCGGGGGGCATGGTCTGCAAGGACATGGCGGCGATGAAAGGTCCATGCTTGGGCTTGGTGCAGGCTTTGCGTGTGAATCTGGAGACGAGAGGGCGGAAGATCGTGGCTGCCATCTTTCTGGGAGAAGAGGAAGAAAGGAGATGCGGAGACAACCGTAGAGAAAGAAAGGCTTGTCCATGATTATATAGAGCTCGAGGTAGCGAGAGAGAGAGAGAGAGAGAGGAGTTATTTCCACTTGTCCATTCTCACTCTCTCTCGATCTCTCTATGAGCTGGCCCATAACACTACAGACACGGACCCACCCTAGGTGGGTTTCCTTTCAATATTCCCTTCTAACGATCACTAGTTATGTTCCTATCTCTCTCTCTCTCGCTCTCGATGTTGGCCCATTCCTCAGAAGTCGTGGGAGCCTGGTTGCATGCGGATGTGTGGTAATACGCCAACCATACGAATACGAGCAAGTGGGATTACTTTGAGACGGCGAGGGTTTTGTCACCTTGCGTGCTCCGCGATACCGCCGGTGGGGAAATGCGGAAGCGAGATCCAGTAGTAGTCCCCCCCACCAAGCTCTCCCCTCCAAACGCGGGTGGCATGAACAAGGCCATGGACCATGTCCTGTTCCTTCCCCCAGCAGGATATTTTCGGTGCAGTGAGAGCCGCATGCACTCCCCTGCTCGTCTGACTCACTCCGACTCGCTGAGGCCAATTCCCGAAAAGCCTCCCTGCGGTTTCCTGTCGTTCTCTAACTTCTAACTTTGGTCGGCTCGTCACGCACGAAGCATGGTCGTCCCGCATGAAGCCCTCCGAGACCAAAACCCTAGTTTTCTGATACTTTGAGGATGAAATATCTCTCGGGATAAATGTGCCACGTGTCCCCATGAGGAAGGGAGTCAGTTCGCTTCAAGCCAATGTAGACCACAAGCAGGCCTGGGCGCGTCGATTGTTTCGGTGGATCCAATCCATACCCCGCAGCCATACACGGAGTCGACGGGGGAGAAATGTTTCTTCCGATTTCAACGAGTGATATCCGATGATCGACAAAAGGTGGGCATGCACCGGCGATCATGGTCTTCATGACTTGGATTTCCAAAGACGTGATATTTACGATACCTTGGCCCAACCCACCCTACTAGATCTCCATCGGGCCGCGTCCAAGCTTTCATAAGGTCCTTTCCTAGAAATCCCAAACCCATCTTCTCTGCGTAGGGTCTGTCCCACGTGCCAGCTTCTCTCTCTCTCTCTCTCTCTCTATCTCTCTCTCTCTCTGTGAGAGAAGAGATGCCTAAAAGATGTCTAAAGCTTGAGGGTTCGATGAAGGGTTTATAGGAGGAGCAGACCCTGTTCGGAAACGAACAGTGACGTCTCTGAGCAAACAGAGAGGGAAGGCAGAAGAACCCTGTGGTTCTGGTTCCAAAGGAAAACAAGATTTTTCCGGAAGACGGGTACACTTCATTCAATACTGCCACTACCGCTCATCGGTCACCAGCGCAAGAACTATGGAACCCGGCGCCATTGATTTCCTCTGGAAGTTTGCTCGGGTTTGACGTTCGGGGTGCAGTTCGGCGGCCGAAAGGAGAAAGCACTGCGCGCGACGCCTTCGTCATCATCCTCTCTGTGTCTGTGAAGGCTGCCCATCCGCATGCTTCTCAATGAATGAAGCAACTTGCTGCAACAGGGTCGTTCAACGGCTCTTCCGAACAGTCGCCGGCATGAACGAAGGCTGGCCTGCGCACCGCCTCCGTTCCGGACTGGTCAACCCCATTTATTTCCTGGGGACACCATGACAGAGGTAGATAGGCACATGGAAGGAGGAAGAGGACCAGTGGACAGGATTCGCTCAGGAAATCCACAATCTGGGTTTCTGCAAACGGGATTCGTAGATGTTGAAAGCCTATAGCCGCGGAGGGGAAGATCATCTAATACTAGACTGGAGAGGATTCGAGTTTCGCCTTTTTTATCAGAAGAGAAGAAGAACACGATGACCATATCGACGACGACGACTATGAAAAGTGGACTGTCCTTTCAGCTGCGGCTAGGGTCTTCATCCAATCCTTATAGGTGTTACATCTCTCTTTCTCTCGCTCGCTCGCTCTTATCATGCAGACGTATGGAGATAGAATGCGTAGTAAGTGTATTACAAAAGTAACTCTTCTAAAAGCAAAATTAGAAACAGTTCAGATTATGAATGTTTTAAGTGAAACTCTTTTAACTTTGTGGTTCTGTATTCAGATTATGAAATATAGTCTCATCATTTAATGTATCTATTGGAAAAAATAATTTATATGGTCAAGAAAAACATAGCCCAACTTGATATTCATAGACATCACACATTATGTAGCCTGATATGAACTAGCCTCAGACTCAAATTCAATGTGACTTAGTAACACATAGTGCCTCTACATCAATATGCTAAAAAACTCTAGAAATCACTCTCAAGTTTGAGCAAAGATATCGATAAAGCCCAACTTGAAAATCAAATGAAAGCAACCCCGGATGCAAATGCCAGCAATTGAAAATGAATGTAAATGTGTGGTTTGTGAATAGTTGTGGCTAGAAATATTTCTCAACTAGTGCAGAAATCAAACTCAATATGCTTGTTTTATTCATTGATAAATGGATCAGGTGATGGCTGAACACACTCCAAATTCTTCTCCTAACTTTTGTTCTTTTCTCGTCCTCCTATTGTGCCCCTCTCATGCCTTCTCCTTAGCAAAGGGAGACCTATAGTATAGAGATCTCCCCATCATAGATGAATCTTTAATTAGTGATGGCCTACAAATTTACATTGTTTTGATTATCTCCTCTAATCTCTCCTTTCTCACCAACCTTGAAGATTAAGAGGTGACATGACTTAGTCGTTATATAATAAATCACGTAAATTTAAAATTTATAAAACTAGAAACTACTAATTTTTAGATATTTAGAAGTATTTTTAAACAAATATATAAATTATAATTCAATAAAACTTCTAAAAATAGTGGTAATTTTTCAAGTCAATCACAAATATATAATATAATATTAAATAATTTTTCAGAATTGTTCTCAAAGAATATGAGTTTTTATGAATTTTATACTAAGAAATATAAATAAAATATATTTAAATTTATAAATAAAAAAAATAAGGGTACAAACGTCAAGATGTCGTCAGCGCCCGACAAATGCGAATTGAGTAAAAATAGAGTTTCACCTAGCAATGCTTACGTAAGTGATTACAAATGATTTAATTGATGAAATTAAGATATGTAAAAGTCGAAAGAATCGTAATCGAATGAAGTATAGTTTGGTAAATTTAAATCACACAAATTATCACTAAATGAAGTAAAAATAAAGTTAAAAATAAGAAAATAGAGTTCTAACATAGCGACGGCGATGCATCGACGATGCACTAGAATCTTAAGCATTTTGGAGGATCATTGTGTAGTGTTCACAACCTTGAAAGTTCTCTTTGGACAAGAACAACGTGGTCAATCTCTAGATCTCCTTGTAGAGTCTAGAGATTAATGAAATAGATCATCAAATTGTCTCTAGCGGCTGTCACTCGGTGGAGTAGAAAAACAACGACTTTATGGCTCGTCAACAATTGTCATCCGACGGAGAAGAACTAGATGGAGGTGAGGTGTGTGTCAAGGAGCTTCATCCTTAGATCCGCACAACAAAAGGAGGCTCTTCATCGCATCTGGTACACTCTCAAGAGGTGACGACTCGTCCTTAGGCAGATCGTCCTCTTCCCAATGACGGCTTGTTCGTCAATCAATCCAAGATGATTTACTTGATGAATTCATGATTCTTTTATCACAAATTATTCGACAATTTTAGTAACAATGCTCCACAAATTGTGTTGATGAGATTTTCGTCAATGATACAACGATTTTGATGACTTAAACCTTCACCGACGATCTACAAGAAAGTCAAGATAATTAGATAAAAATACGAGCTTTGGCTCTAAGAGGATTCGAACCCACGTCAATTGCCCGTCTACATGAGAGATTAAAATAAATACTTTAATACCTTTATGAAGTGACATCATCATAGTATATCTCTATTATAAAGAAGGGTTATTTTAGATATTAAAATCTTTGAAGCCTTTTGGGGGAAGGTATGACACGGGTTTAGTTTCACATCACTTATGCGCCGAAGTTTCAAGTGAATATATAATAATATTACATTTGCAAGCAATGAGTCCCTTTCTTTTACATGTACGACCGCTTTGTCCCACAACCGATTAGCCACTAGTGACGTAGAAAGAGAGTGACGCACATGTGCCCTCATCAATCTTAGCTGCTCAAGCCCTTACTTGCGGCTCCTCCCTGACTACATTTCCAACCCACTTGTGGGCTCGATTAGCCAGATGATCGCTCACATTTTGTTATATTTTTATTTTTATTTTTTTTCTTTATTTATCTAAAAAATAAGACTATAAAAATTATATAAATTCTTAAAAATCACATAATTAACTAAAAAATCATATTAATCATGATAAATATAAGTATATTTATCATGAGTTAATGCTAAAATTAGATTATTTACTAATTATCAACTCATGATAATAAAGACTCATCAAGAGGCCTGGTACATGTCCTTCCTTCTTGTTGACCTTGTGAACTCTGCTGGGAATAGATTGATGTACTCATACCACCATGTGATCATGGGATTTTCTGCAAGACTAACAAGTCGTGAGCTAGAAAGAAGAAGCTTGAATTTGTGCATGTATTTCTTGATTGCATTATTAGTCTCCCAATGATCCACAAACTAGACTTCTTCAAATTACAATGCCTGTCAAGCTTATGGCAGCAAACCAATTTCAGGAGGATGGCAATCATCAGAGTTCTAAATACTGAAATTAGTAGACAATG